TTCTATACTCTTTAGTATTGTTATATTCAATACAATTGGTGCTAATACTGAACCACAATGAATTGTATGTTTTATAAAATATTTAAATATGTAGATTATAACAAGTTAAACTGTTATTGCTTACAAGATTGATACATGGTTGGTAGTCGCGATAACAGGAGTGTACCGAAAACTAATAATTATTGTTAAACTATATGCTACCTGATAAATAATCATGGAACTGTTGTCAGTGGTCTTACCAAGCTATGGTTCATGAGTTGCTTACTATAAATAATAATCAAGTGGATTTAAGTCATATTGAAGATATAAAACCAGATCTTCAAAAAGTATTATTGTGTGCTGAACAAGATGATTTATACAAACAAGTAAATGTTAACACTTAAATAAAGAAAATACCTCAAATTATTTTATTAATAAGCTTACAAATATTTTTAGAATATGTATAAAAATTTTGGTGAGATTGGCGAGATAATGAAATCTTTAATTGATGATTTTAAGTCAAAAGCAAAAAATCATCAAAAACTTGATACCATATCAGATATGAAAGCTTTTGTTGAGAATTATCCGCAATTCAAAGTATTCAAAACTAATAAGTAGATTTAAAAAAATATTTTCCAAATAACCTTTAAATTATAACATGTTTCTTCTAGAAAATGACTGGTACAGTTGCTAAACATGTGATAATTATGGAACAACTATCTAATTATGTTACAAAAAAAAATCTTTTAGAAGTATCCGAATTGCAGCAACAAATTGCTTGTGATATTCAATCTTCTCAACATACTCAGGTTAGTGTTTCTTTATGTTGTGTTTCTAGTTTCGTCTAATATAAACAAACAAATGTGATAAACTTAATTAATATTTAAATAATAAATAAGTACACTTAAGATGGGCTGCATGAATAACTGCTAAACATTTAATGAATCAATAGTGAGCTAACAGTATACATGTTTTAGTGGCCCATAATTGGTCCATTAAATTAGTCAATTTTTCATTCAACCTGGCGTTATAATTATTATGTAATGAGCTGATAAGATAATTTAATACTTATTACACTAATTATAATTTACTTTTAATGTATTATTTATATACCTTATTATGGATATTATATAATACAAATTATAAATAACTAGCTGATCCCGTGCACTTTGTTGCCCGTTAAAAATGTCAACTTTACCGGAGATTCGATGGTGATAATGCGAGCAGTATATTATTCCTACCTGTTGTGGATTGCGGACCCCGTTTGATGAGTACTTTACATAAATAATATGTTTTATTTTTATTTTGATTGCGGACTCGCCAATGAGCGGCTATATGTGGAACTCAGCCACCTGGGTAGGCGATGTACTAAAATTCAATTGTATGCTTGCTTATACCTGATCTGTCCGATGAACCACTGCAGGCAACCAATAAACAAAAAAAAATAACCATTTCTACTAAATATATTTATATTTCTCCTATAACCAATAGCAACCATATACAAACAAATATTTCCTTCATAAATCTTAAATTCCCTGTTTGAAAAACTCCACGGGTGTCGGGTTGGACCTGTCGGGTCCAATTGTGAATCCAAACCATTCAGAGCGTCACCCAAACGAATACAAAAAAATTCATTCAAATCTATCCAGCCGTTTTGGAGGGGTTCAGTGACATACATACGTACAGTCAAATTATATATATTATAATATATACACATACTATACATTTTCCATCTACTCCTCAATTATATGAATTAAATACTTGTTTCTTATACAAGATGATTCACTAAGCATGCGCACCCCCATTTTTTACTTTAATAATGAATTTATTCAAATTCTGATTTCCTATTTTTAAATTTAATATAATTAAAGATTATATTATTTTCAAATTCAGAATCAGATTTTGAATAAATGTATTAGTGAAGAAAAAAAGGGAGTGAGCAAGCTCGGTGAATCACTCTTAAATATTGTCTACAGTGTACTCTCGAATATCCACCGTCTTCCATGAAATCATCTACATACCTAAATGTCTACAAAAAAATATATATACATACATATTATCTATTTACATTATAAATCATTATCGGTTTAATTGGATGATGGTTTGTGATCGTTGATTACTCGTCAACGACGTAAAATACAATACACTTGTTTAATATTAATACATATGTATGTACATATTATTATGTTATGTTCCTTTAATACTAGACCCTCAAATGTACATTGTATGTATGGGTATCCGCAGCATTCGTTTATCTGTGGAAGTCCTGTCATAATCGAGAGTGCACTCTACCTTATTATATTATATTGATTTTAAAATTTCCACTTAAATTCTACAGTTTATTAATTTCATGCCTAACATTAGTGGTTTAGTCTAATTTATATACTTTTATTAATTCATCTAATCCATTTATAGTTTTATCTACATTATTTTGTTATTATTATTTTATCCAATCTGATTGCAGTTTTTTTAGTTAATTATTTATATATTCACAATTAATAAAACAGCATTAAAGTAAATATTTATTTATTTATTGTTGTAGAAGATTAGAGAGCTTATAGAAAAAAATATACCAGATGAGGAGGCGAGTAAACTTGTTATGCTTTATGCTCTAAAATCATTCAGCAAGGATAGTAATAGAGAATTAACTAGCTTAATACAATTATTAAAATCAAAAAAAGTTGCCGAACATTGGATAGAGGTATTTTTATATTGATAACATTTCAAGTATTTTTGTTTATGATTATTTTAATAATTTCAGCTTGTGCATGATGTTATGAAATTCCAAAGTAAAATAATTTTAGACAATGAAAATACATTAAAAAATGCGAAACAAATAACAAAACGATTCTATAAGGTAAAAATATTTCATTAATAATTATAATTTATGTAAACAAACAAACAGTTTAATTCTTATTTATGAATGATCCATTAAAATTAGATTTCTTTACTTTTAAAAAATCAAAGTAATATTTATTAATAAATATGCTTTTCTTATGATTAAGGGAGAAATCATATTTTTATTTTTATTTTAGGACTTAAAGGGTGTTGACAATATATTTACTCAACATGTTCCGCTGATGAAGGAATTAGTTGAAGATTTGATAAAATCAAGATTAAAAGAAGAACAATACCCATTTTTAAGTGATATAAATCAACCAACAAAAAAGTATGAGTATAATTTTCATTTTTTCTTTTATTCATTTATATAATTGCAATATTTTTATTTGGTAGGGTGCAAGATATAATTGTTTTTGTAATTGGGGGTGTAACTTATGAAGAATCAATGGCAATATATAATCTGAACGCAGCTAATCCACAGGTTAGGATTATATTGGGGGGTAGTACTGTACACAATTCCTCCAGTTTTTTAAATGAAGTGAAATTGGCTACATTTGGAGTGATAAAGAGCAGAGGTGGTTCTCGAAAGTTATAAATCATTCTTAGAGTAACAACACAATACTTTATATTTTTTTTTGTATCAATACTTTTACCTATTAATTAATAAAATTACTTTGTTTTTATATTTTAATCATATTTATTATTATGTGCAATGTATTTTAATTTGTGTTAATTTATTTTTTATATTATTATTTATTTATTAAACAATTAGATTTTTTGTAGTTGCTATTTGCTATCTCCTATCAATTACCAATAAAATAATTATTTAAAACATATAGAATTATTTTTAATTGTAATTGTTATGAACAGCTCATATTCCAAACAATTTTGGCCTAATTTGATAAAAAAAATACCTCCAAAAATTGTTTTATGACCTATAATTTTTTAGTTAATATTTGATTGTAAGATAAAGGTGAGTTGATAGAAAAGGCATTATTCTTGAGGGTTCATAATTTCACTGTGCAATATGCCAATAAGATGGTATAATAGTAAGAGGTCTAATCTCGTGGTTATTTCTTACAATTTTTAGCTGGCACTTGATGGTCCTAATCCAAAAACTGTAGTTTATAAGTTTTAAATTGGTTTCAATAACTCAATAATTTAAAACTATTGTTTTGTATTTGTATGGGGTATTCCTTTCAAGCACACCTTACATATACAATATAATAATATAGATAATGGGAAAAAATTCTCTCATTTGAAGTTTGTTGGGACTAGAGGATATAATTCTCTAAAACAAAACATATAATATAGTATGAAAATCAAAATACTTTTATTACAAATAAAACCAAACAAGTTCAATTTAATTTTAAATAATATTTGTACGTACATATTTTAAGTACAATTTGTAGAAAATAATAAATATTTAGTATAATATAGTGCTATCTGAACTAACAAATTAAAATTTAATATATAAATTAAATTATTTAGTAGCTCATATAACTATTGAAAATGGTAAATACCAAATATTGCAGTTTTCTTTGAAGATATGCAAAATAATTGTGGATAATAATGGATTGCTTACATCATTAACTTGCAAATCTATATAAAATATCTTTATATCTCAATAAATAGTAGTATTTAATAATTAATAACAATAAATTAAAAGTATAAGAAATTATTCATGACCTTAAACTGAACGTTGCGTAAAATTAGTAGCTTGGCAACCCTATATTTAAAATTATAATAATTTCTTTTTTTTCTTTTTTAAGGTACATATTTTGTTTTAACTGTTAGGATGCATGTTAATACTCATTCTAATAAATCGTTAGGTAAATAAAATGTAAGATGGTTATAAGGATGTTAGAAACATTCCCTGAAAATCAGCACACTTGGCCACCATTTAGGATCAAGGAATTATAGTTATGGACATTTGTTATGGCATCAGTTCATGTAAACAAAATCATTTTAAGATTTAAATATCTACAAAATTTGAGTAATCTCAAACAAAATATAAATTGTATTCAGATGAAAAAAAAATTATACATAAAACTTAATTAACAAGTATATTAGTTTTATAATACAATTATGAATGGCAAATTATGATTTAAAATTTCATTTCTATAATTAATAATAATATAAAATAATACAATTTAGGGTTTTCATAATTATTATTATAGTTAAAAATATTTCTCACTAAATAAAAGTATAATTAAAATAAAACATATTACTAATATGATATTACACACATATAAAAAGTTTTTAATAATTAAAAAACACCTAACCTATTACAATTATGAAAGTAGGAGTATGCCCTTAAACACTTAATACTTCTTCAACTTATTACAGCCAATTTCGTTGCCTGAAATGAAAGTATAATAATTTTTTTTTTTAACTTGTAAAAGAAAAATAGAAGCCACTAAAATTATGTTTTAGATAAAATAATGATTAATCTATATACTATTTTTTTCATGACTATTAGCAGCAAGGTTAAATAAAACATTGTTCAGTGTAAATGTACAACTGTATGAGCAATTACAATATTTAATATTATTTATAGGCGTTGTCAAAACTGTACCACCACCACCAAAAAGTAAGCTTTAAGAAGAAATCTCTTGAAACTTAATGTTAATAGTAATAATAATAATAATAATAATAGCAATACAACAAGAAGAAGAAACAATATTAGAACTGCCCCAGCGCAGATATGAGTACCATTTAAAGTAGATCAATTATGTAATCATATAATGGAAAGAGTCAACAATTAATACCAACAAAAGATAACTGAACGGTACATTATTCTGTATTGAATTGTGTTAATATAATTTTACCTATGCACATCCTATTTTATAAAGACATTACAAAAGATAAGTTTGGTAGACGGGTAGAGTATCAAATTAACAAGTTTTATAACAAATTAATGTACTAGGATCAATGGTTGATACCATAAAATTAAGAAAATAATAATGAGGCACTGAGGAATAAAACTCCTTTGTCCCTATATAGTACAAAATTTAACAAATAGCCGTGACTTTTGTCACGAGTCTGTACAATTAGTGGCACAAATGACATCTCACCAACTGCCAAGGACCTAAGCATAAAATATGAGGCATTAAAAGGAAGTTAGATGATAAAAATAAATGAGAAATAGTAGAAGGCAAAACCAACCAATACTACTATGTTTAGAAATTTTTAATAAAACACAATATAAAATACATAAAATAACATAATCATGTGACATTTTTAAGGTAGGCAATTTTAAAGGCTACATTTAATTTAGGTGTTAAAAAAAAAGTTATTTGCATAATATTGTTAATGGATATAAAGGATGTTACGAGTACCAGTTAATTTGGCCTGCAATATACATTAAACTAACATCAGATACCATCATTATATAGGTGGTTAACTCAAACAATGAAAATTCAAAATGTCTTAATCGCTTGTTTTAATTAAGATTACATCATCTTTAACTTTAAATTAAATATGCAAATTTGTGTTAGTTATTGGATACTTTAGTAATAAAATTTTTAAAGATTAAAAAGCAGAAAAATATCATTATCAAGTCGAAACCAAAGAATACAGTATAAACAATAAGCATTTAATAACTATATTATAATTTGTCTAATGAAAGATCCAGAAGTTTTTATAGGTTAACGCTACACGGCTACACTCATTCAATATTCTGATAAATTCAACTATGTTATTGTGACTACAATTGGTTAACATTTAATGGTGTGTCATATTATTTAACTTCTGTTAAGACAAAAAAAAATTGGATGATCCCAAATGGTTCCATTTTAGCAAAATTTTACTGTACCAACAAACCAATCCCCTAAAATATACATAGCTAAGTACCATTTTATACTTTTTTCACAGGAATTAACATATTTTTAAAATATCAGTTACTTTATAATAATTTAGATTCGCAAGTAAATAATGACTTATTAGTCGTTAGAATAAAATCGGTCAACATTCTATGGATAAGTTACAAAAAACTGTCTTATTGTGGTAGATTCCAGCTTTAAGAATTCAAACAAATTTACAGAGAATTAGTTTGTTGGCAAGTTATACATTACTTAAATAGTTTGATTTGCTATAAGTAATATTTGGCAGATTTTCTTATATTATTTCCTTTAGTAGATTAAAAAATTGTCTCAAGATAATATACCGCAACGCTAATGGAATTCAGATACCGGAAATCATATGTAGCGGAAATAACTAATAAGGCACGACTAGATACTAACAATAATGGTAGGCTAATGCGGATTTGATAACTTCAACATTATAAATTATAACGTGTAAAATATTTTTAGTTGGTTTATCTCAAGGTCTTAGACTATATATTTGTATAAATCTAATTATAGTATAAGAGAAATGTGTTGAAAATTGTTTATATAAATCAATAACTAATGATAATTGAAAAATAGGAAATTAATCACTAATTGTTGAATGTTATCAAATATGGGTTTCAGCAACAAATTTTAAATTTCTTTAATCTTACCACAAGCCATTCAATAACATGTAGGCATTTATATATTATTAGCAAACTACTGTAAACAACATTAAATTTAATGAAGTAAAATATTTTAATGCAAAGGCTTGAAATAAATAAAAATATATATAGCTAAAATAAAGTAAATGAAAATAATAGTGTTAACACTACAATTTAATTAGGTACCTCATAGTCAATGTAGGTTTTTGGTTTTTAACATTAATTGTCTTACATGTGTCTTGTGAAGTTATCCTTGTGTTTACTGTAAAATCAAAAAATATACATTACAGTTGTTTATTGTGGGCGGCAAAAGTATATATATTATTATTGTATGTAAATTTATTTGGGAAATGTGTGGATACCCCATCCGAACTAAGGTTAAAGTTTCATAAATACAAGACATTCTACAGATTAACCAATATCACTGTTTAATCATTGTTAGTTCACAACCAAAAAAAATCCTTTGTAAATGTTCCTGATATAAATCACTCAGACAATGTTTTGTTAAAAATTTACATTTGACACTAACTATTTGATTTATAATAATAACATTTTATTTTATACATTATTTATAACAGGTTTGTTTAAATTTATTTTTATTCAGCTATCTTCAAATACACGCAATTATTACATCAAAATTGCTTACAACTCAAGACTTGTAAAATTTAATAAATTAATAATTAACATATAAAACCATAATAATTAACCAACATCCTTTTATATTTTTATACACTTCATACCATCAATACAACTTACCAGATTTTGCGGTTAAAATATTATTCGTATTATTTCGTGCTTTAGTAACAGCTTTGGTCAGAATTGGATCAGCCAGAGTTCTAGTTGCAGCCATAATAAGTGGCATGTTTTCTTGGTTAACTTTCCTATTAATAAGTCCAGGTTTGTGATTATTGAGTACTAGCCTTTTCCTTTGTATGGTAGGCTTAGTAATTGATTTAGTTAGGCACCGTGTATCAATTGGTGGTTTACTCCGATGAGGTGTAGTTGTGGTAGCCAGACGTTTAACAGAAGCTAAATCTAAATTTTGTTTCAATACAAAAGTATTATTTAAACTTTCTGCTTGAGTTGAAATTACTACAGTTTCATCGACATTTGAATCGGGTGACGTGTCCATTTTATTAATTTCAGGCTGTAATGTAATTTGTTCCAACTTGTCTTCAACAACTTGCAAAGGACTCTGAAACGTAATATTAAAATTAATTATGAAAGATTTAATTCCATAAATATTTTAATAATTTACCATGCACTCTTCTAATTTAATAGGTCTTGAACATTCCGGTTTTGTACAGGTTCTCAAATTTTCAATGCTAAGTTCATTTAAATTAAAATACGCATCCCTTTTGATTTTACATTGGTTTCCTGGTGAAAAATCCCAGCTAACTGCTTTCAAACCACCCAAAAATGATTTTGTTATATTCTAAAACAATCCCAAATTAGAGTATAAATTATCATTTAATTTTACATAAGTTATTTCTTTATAATAATAATTAAATAATTTCAAAGTTAAATCATAATGATTACTTACATTATGATTTTTTTTCATATCTTCTGTATTTTTTTTATGTGCATCTAATAATGTATAATATTGATTAGATTTTTCCGCAAGCATAGTTATTAGTTCATGACTTATATTGAGGTTACTGTCCAATATCATACCGATTTCATTTCTATGCTCGAGAAGAGTAGCCTGCTCTTCTATAATGACCTAAACATTTGTTTGAATATTGTTATTTGTTTTAATGAGAAACATATAAATACATACATCAGCATTAAAACGAACAATGTCAACATCTAAAAATTGTTTAACATTATTTTCTTCAAGTTTTTTTATAAATAAGTTTAGTTCTTTGTTAGATGCAATTGCTTCATCCCACAATATATTTAATTGAGCATTTAAACTGGCCATGCGCCCTTGAAATTGTTGAATAGCCAAGTTGATTCTATTCAATTCACTAGTCTACATAAATTAAATAATACACACTTTGATCAATTAGAAATAAAATAATGGATAATTACTACAAACCATTTCATCTACATTTGGAACGTTAAATGAAGAAAATCGTTCAATTAAATTTTTCTTTAAAAATATTCTTAATTCAGTTTTTTTTTGTGTCGATTCTAAACGAAGAATTTCACTATGTTTTTTTATTTTTCCAGTGAATAAAGATTCTAAAGTTGATTTAAGATCTTCTAAATTATCTGGCGGGATTGGAGCCTTAGACTTTAATACTTCTTCGTATTTTTTCTTCAGAAGCTGATTTTCATCTTCTAAGCCCGATATTAATTTTGTGTAATGCGACGGAGGATGGTTGATTGACATTACATTTTCTTTTAACTTAAATAATAAAATGTATATTTAAGCATATGGAATCATTAAAATACTAAAAAATTAATACTTACATTAGATTTGATTTTCATAGCACGAGATGCGTACTTCAAAGTGTTGTGGGTATCTTCATATGATGACAAAGCCGGTGACACACATGATATCATCAATGTCTTACAGTTCCCACCAAGAGAATCTTTTAATAATCTAGTTAGTTTTGAGTCTCTGTAAGGTATGTGCCTCAACCCATCTGACAAATTGTTGATACAATTTCCTATCATAAATAATTAATAATAATCTGAGTTATACATTTTACTATAAAGCTTTAATTTATAACAATGAATGTGATACCTAGAATACAAAAAAGTATCCTACAGTACACGTATATTTAAATTTTTTTTTATATACAGTCAAAACTCTTTATAACGAATCTGAAGGGACCAAGAGATTTCTTTCGTTATAGAGAGTTTTCGTAATAGAGAGGGTTTAAAAAAAACAAAATTTTAATTATTTATGTATAAAGGTATGTAAACCTATGTAATATTATATATCAAACACATCATTATTTTTACAAATAATGAAAGAATGTAATCGTTCTTGGAAATGTCGGCATTATAGCCGATTATTTTTATAGTTTATATATGTAATAGATACGATAACACGTAAATTGTATTATGAAACATAAAATATTGTTTCGTTATTGAGAGTGACTAATACGTTATAGAGAATAAAATATCTAATGAGTTATAAAGCAAAACAACCATTATTATGTAATGTTTACGTTATATAGAGTTTCGTTATAAAGAGTTTTCACTGTATATTAAACCAGTGATTCCCAACCTTGGCAAACCACAAATTTACTCTTTGTCGGGTACTTGACCCCACAATAATAATTTAAGAAATCAAGTATATATGCCATAAAATAGTATTATACGATTTTTATAATTTAATATTAATATAATGCAATCACAAATACCTAATTCTATTAAATATACGGTGTGGGATATTGGACTTTTATATTTCAAATTAACACTGAAGCATAGTCAAACCGATTAGATTAGCGCAATTTATCTAGATAAGGTAAGTTAGACAATTAATAAGGTTTTCAGTCGCCACCATGCCATAATTGTTTGGTGAACAACGTGGTTTTGTTTAAAGCAAAAGTTTTCATAACTGCTGATTGTGTGACTGCATTGCAGAGACCTTTTAGCACTCGATTCAGTTTAAATCCGAACAGCAGTCTCTGATTAAAAAATGATTTTGAATTGGGTACGCAATTTGATGACAACAGGATCTGTAATGTCTAAAAACCAGCTGGATGTCCTAAATCAGTAAGAATACCGAAAAACATTGCTGCGGCCAGAACATCAATAAAACATTCTCCATTACGCTCTACTCGGAAACATGCATCTGCTCTTGGAATATCGGATCGAATAGTAAGACAAATTTTGCACTAGGAACTTAAATTATACCCATATAAGATTATAGTAGCTCAAAATTGAGCCAAGTAAAAACTGGAAAAACTTCCTCTAATGTGATTCTAACAATTGTCCCTCTTCAACGGTATTATGTGGATTAGTGATGAAGCACATTTCGACATTTCTGGCACGGCAAACGAGCAAAATTGTTGTTACTTAGCAGCTAAAAACCCCCGAATAGTACACCAACGATACCTTCAGTCCTAAAGTGGACTCCATGGTGGACTGTTACTGTGAATTAAAACTGCTACTGCCAAATGTTAGGGAACTTTTATGCCTAAAAAATGAAGAATACCAAAATTCTGATGTTTTCTCGTATGGAGCCACAGCCCATATTGTCTGTCATTCTCACGCCATTTTGCAAGAAATGTTTCAATCTCCTAATCGCTTTAAGTGAAGATGTTACAAAGCCTCTTGCACTCCCAATTTGAGCCCCTGTGACTTATTTTATGAGGTTACCTCAAAGCTAAAGTTTTTAAATATTGTTTTCCAACCCTTGAAGAACTTAAGGAGGCAATCCGTAAAAAAAAAATCGGCAGAATTTCACATAATATGCAGGCGAATGATAGAAAACTTGAGAAGGAATCCATATGTGTATTGCTTGTCATGGTCATCAATCATTTAGAAGATATAATTTTTAAAAAATAACTTTAAAAGAAACCTTGTATAATATTAAATAAAATAGTTTCTATCCTCAAATATATTATTTTTCTCATATCTTGTATCATTTTTTTTTAAATTCACCTCGCAAATGTGGGAATGCATTAAGCTGCCCCTTGTTTAAAGATTATTTTTAATTTAAAATATTTAGATATAGGTACATCAAAATTAAAAAATACACAAAAAAAATGATATAATAATATGATGATATCATTTTCCGCTGTCATAATACAATAGTTAATTAAAATATTATTATATCCATTAAGATCTTTGTCCTACAATTATACGTAGAAAAATCAAATAGACTAGAATTTTTTTCAATTTTTGGCTAAAATAATTTTCATTTATATTCTAGTATAATTCCTTATTAGCTTACAAACATTGAAAACTACTAGGTTGGGAAACATTGTTTATATTTACTATACCTTTAATAGTTCAAATACTTATGCCGGGCTGCATGAATTAATCTAATGGTTCAATAAAATTGAATGAATAAATCATGAGCCACTAAATCATGTTTAAGGGACATATTACTACAGATTTGTTAAATGTAAAGTGATTGCAACATGGCATTAAAATGATATTTAATAAAACATGACATACCAAGAGCGAGTAGGGACTTATTAATGTTAGATCCTTCTTTGAACCTCATTCCTTTATTAGAAGATGCTCTTTCTGAACCAGCAAGATCAACCATGGACAGCTTGGCCATTTTTACTTGATCTGTATGTTTAAATGTCATTTGTATGTACACTTGAAACAAGGCATGTGATCTAGATGACTCAGCATTAGCATCAGTAGGGTGCTGAGTACGATTGTCATTGCCTCTACGTAGCATTTCAATAAGTTCATCAACGTTATTCACCATTTTAATTGTAATACCAGCAACTGATGTTGTATTTCCACATTCACGTAAAAATAAAGGCTTTTTATCACTTACTAACAAGTCATACACCATTTCATTGTACACCTAAAATAAAAAAAATTCCTTTCTTATTTAAATTCATCAATATTTTTAGTATAATATTTTAAAACATTACTTCAAGATAGGAAACATAAATTTCAAATTTTTTTGAATTTTGTTGTTCATTTACTTTTTCATACAAGTCTTTCATAGTTAAATATGTAATACCATAGTTGACTTCATTGCCCAGCATGGTAAATGTTTTTCCAGCCCCTGTTGCTCCATACACAAATACTACAATACAAGAATAATTAAATTGTCAATAAAAAGTAAAATATTTAATCATTCATACAGTAAGTGATTTACCAAAAAATAATAACCAGCCAATTGAAAAAAGTATAATGATATTTATTTTTAAATAAATATGAATAACAATAATATTATATATATAATAATTATGTTTGAGAGATTGTTATTAAACATTGCAAGATCCATGGTGTTCCTAATCTTGGTCTATACCCCGGCCCTTGAGTGAAGGAACTTGTTTCACTATACACCCTACAACGATGAACATCTTGGGACACTTATTTCCTCACTCAAACATTCCAGGCAGCAGCATTGTATAGCATTACAACAAACAACTATGTTTGAATGGGGAAATAATGGCCCAAGAAGTTCAACGATGGTTACATCGCATAACGAATTCCTTCTCTCGTGTACCAGGGTATAGAATAGAGATGGCAAATCCATAACACACAAAATATTTTAATATTTATTACATTTTATTTTATTTATACATGAAGGGTATAACAGAAAAACCTGACAAATGAAAATGAAAAATTGATTTAAGTATTTAAGAAAATTATATGGATAATAAATGATTTAAGATTTACTTATGTCTGAAAATTCCCAGAAACAATATTTTGAAAAAAATGATTAAGATTCAAATGAATTTACTCAATAAAAAAAATATTGATATTTTTAAAAAATCTACTAGACTGAAATAAATGTTTTTAACATTACATTTCTTTATATTAGATTTACAAGTTGGCTATTTTGAATTTTTTCAATAAAAATCTAATTTAATTAATACATTTTTATATACAGTGTTAAAAAAATATAGCATACTAATTATAGAGCAAACGTTTAAAACTATATTAACTATATAAAAAAGTCATATCACGCAGCTCAATATTGCTATTCTTGTTCTATGAATTATAAATGTTTTTGTTAACAAGTAACAGCGACAGCAAGAACTTTACAAAAATCGGTCAGAAATAAAAAAAACCTGTATACAGCCAAAAAACATTTTTATGTTAGGTTTTTTAAATATTGATGAGAACAAATGTTATTTAATCTGTCTGGTCTTATTGTTACACATTCTACACTTAATATTTTTCATAATTATCAGGTAATTTTAACCCAACCATTTAAGACATTTAAACATTTGAAACGCCATCCCTAGTCTAAAAGCAAGATAGATTAATATTAATTTATAGAACAACAAGTTCATAACTTTCTTGAATAGATCATTCTTTGACACCATAGAGTAATTTACTACAAATTTTTTGTTGAAAAAATGTCTATAATTTGTAACCATTATTTTAACAGTATATTGAATAGGGTTTGGGGGTAAAAATCCTCAAAAACCCAAAAATCAGGTGGGTTTTATTTTTAAAGTAATAGTGAATGGTTTTATTAGATTTTTTCCATATATTAGCTACATTATTTTTTTACCCTACTACATATTCCTCCTAGCTCAGGTCCATTAGAGAGCATTTTCCCTACGTTTGATCTAATTTTTAACAAACACAGAAATCGGGTTGATCATGAAAAGGCAACCGAATTAGTCGAAATTCACCAATTTTAAAAAGAAAACCTCAGGACAAACTAAAGGAGGACTTTTTTCAGCTAATCTATCGACTATAACCAACTATATGTTTGTTGTTAATTTTTGTTTGGATTATTTTTATTACCACTGTCTACTACCACAAGCTATACAAAAAATGTTTTATTTTTATGAACTAAACAGTCATAAAACATTACAAAAGTAACTAGGTTTTCTTTAAATTGTATTGTTTTATTATATTTTTATTTTGTAAAAGTAATCACAGGAAAGTTATACTTTCAGAAAAATAATAAAATTGTTAAAATTTCTTTTCACTATTAGTGTGGTTTTTTTTATTTTATACTTTTAGGTATATGTAAATAAAAAATGTATAATCCAATTTTGTTCTAATCAAAGTTTAATTAGAAAAACAAATAATAAAAGGTAAACTGAAAAATAATGCAAGTTAAAAATTAGAGTGAATTTAACCCAGAAAAACATCCCAGGTATTTTTTAGGCTGCACTTTTTCATGTCAACAATGTTACTAAATAACCTGTTACATGAAAACCAATAGTTATTGATATCAATACCACAAAATGTAATTAAAATATAGTATATATTAAATTGATACATACCAGAACAATTATATCCACATAGAAGTTTGTCAAGTAAATCTTTAGTGCTTTCATTATAAATGTCTTCATTAGAACTTTGAGGTCCAAAAACACGATGAAAATCGTATTTTATAGATTTATGTTGTCGTTTTGAAATATCTCGGGGATTTTGCTTAACACCATGGAAAAAAAATGGTGTCTCATCTTGTTTTGGATCAAATATCAAAGCATTATCATTTCTAATTCTTATTGTTTTACTGAAAATCAGGAAACAAGGTTATTTAAATACAATAAATAAGAATGTCTTAACTTAAATATAACGTCATGTTTATTAATAAAAATGCATTAATATAAACTTAAGCATTGATCATGTCATCAGTTAACATTTTATTTAATACAAGAAGATATACTACCTAGATGAATATTTTTTCTTGTTCAGGAATTTTATATTAAATGTACTAAATGTATTAAATTATAAAATACTAAATGTATTAATAGGTGAAACCAAACTTTTTATGATAAAGATTATTTTTAAAACTATAATTTATAGTTCTTACTAAATGTAATTACCAAGATCATAAGTATTATCATGAAGGTGCAAAAGACCATGGACAGTTTCAGTCTGAAATGTTTTAGGCTATGCAATAGTATAATTTTGGGGCACTATTGCCATCAATTTTTCAATAGGCATTGGTAGATCAGTCAGATGGTTAATTAATTATAATATAAATGTCTACTCTTTATTTTTAATTATTTGAAGTAAATACCAAGGGTACCCACATAAAAATTGAATTTCAAAAGAAGAGCAATAGTGGCATGAAAATATTTAACAAAAATCTACAAATAAAATTTTTTTTTATTTTGCCATAACCAGGGATTGGGAGTTTATGCATTTGCATATCAATCTTGCTAAGTCATTTAATACTAGGTGACATAGGAATCCATTTCAAGGTACCATAGTTGAATATGTGAAGTTTTATTTTGCATATTTAGAGGTTTGTTTGACTATTTGACATATTTATGGGTTTTTCTATTTTATTTTGCATATTTAGCATATTTTTACCAACATTTGATGAGAATGCAATAATTCATATTTTTGCACAGTATAAAATACATAGGAACTGTCACAACGTAAAATTATTAAAAATAAAATGTTTATAGCTTGTAACTCGCGTTAAGCAAATTAGTGGAAAACATGTTATATAAAATATTCTTATCTTCTTGATACTTTTACAGTGGTTTATTATTGACTATTTCATTCGTTATTGAGACGTGTGTGCATGGACGTTTGTTCAGTTTAACAATTTCTGAACTTTTAAACCATACTTTGCAAGTTTTTAGTGCATAAGTGAATACTTATTTAGTCATTTTTTAGGGCATGAACTCAGGAGCCCTGGTCATAACAGTCAAGATAATATTATAAATTTACAATTTTTAAACAAAGATTATTAACAGGGTATAAAATAATCTAAAAATTAGTGGTCGTATACAAGGAGGATATTTGAGAGAGAACAAAAAAAAAATGTATATTAAAACTTAATTTTGAAACATTTAAGGTCCACACTCATTAAAGCGGTGGAGGTAAAATTCTTTTGTCTTGGCAGTGCAGGTAAATTGTGACCGGACTCATTTTACCGCTACCGCTACAGTGTACCTTTAAAATAATACATAAATAATCACTCCGTATAATATTATATGTTTTAAGAGAAAAACACGTAGATAAAAAAATAAAATCTTCTATTCACAAATATTATGCACCTAATATACGTTAGTTTGGTTCTTAAAACCTGGGAATAAAATAATAACGTTAACTATTAACATCGTACCTCAAAGAGGTCATCAACATTTGTTTTTATCCATATTTGTCAATTGTGTAGTCTGTGTTCCAATAGTCGCCTATGTTTCCTTATCGCCTATGTAACCTTCATCAGGTCTCCAACAAAACTCACCTACATGGCAAATGATATTGGATTCCTACTAGTTGACTTTGGGTCCTTATTCATACCTTATCTATGCATGCGTTCACACATTAATAGCATTAGAAGCAAAGCTTATAAATTACTGAGATTTATTGGAAGAATGATTTGCCAGTCCCCTTAAATCCCTATGGATACTTTGCTTTTAATTTTTTGACTTTCTATAAGGCATTTTTTTTTTTTCGAGAAAGCCATAAAGATAGACTAACTCATGAGGAATACTGTATTAATTTTCAAATCTTAAAAAAAATAACTTTTTTGAATTTCTAAATCTATATAATTTGATAATTTCTGGTGCTTTTGGAAACTACTGGGAATTTTAAATTTTAACCTCCCGGCTGAATGCAACAAAGATTCATATTCCCATCAGAAAAGATACTGAAGTTGAAAATCTAAGCATAATTTTAACCATTTGTCATGGACACAAACACAAAAAAAAGCACACAATGTAAAATCGATAACTTCATATGTCTGATCAAACTCTAAAAACAAAACAACTTTAGACCATATCCTATTATACTATTCAACTATTGTATATGACCTAAGAAAAAACCTAAGATTCTCAAACTGATAACTTTAATGTATGTAGTTCCGCAGTGGTCGAAGTGGGTGGGGGGATACGGAGGGATGACATCCCTTTACTTTTTTGTATTTACATTTTTCATCCCTCTACTTATTTTTTCATTCCTCCTAATACTTGTGTTTTGAAATGAAATAATTATTATGATTTTTATATTTATACCTAAGTATAAGAAAACTTTTTATTTTTCGTATAGGCCTAAATCTGAATTGTAAGGCATCCCTCCACTTACGTTGAGCCATTTCGACCACTGTAGTTCCGCCTTAAACAGTTGCTTATATCATAGAACAATATGCTTATAATTTCCTATTAGTAAGATGGAGACAAGACAGACAACACATGCGGCTATGCGGGTGTAGCGTCCACTTAACTACATATTTTGCTACATAAACTGAAATTATTTAACTTGGTAACACTGTGAATTATCAAACTAGTAGAATTTGAATTAAATTTTTTTTATCAGTTTTTACCACGATTTAAGGATAACTTAATGTAATAATAATATGTTACGACTAATAAACACCAATTATCTATCAGCTATCTTTTTAATTCGTATTTCGTAGTTAGAAGTTATTTTAAGACAAATTAACTAAATGCTTTAAGTTTTCAAAGAAATAAATATGCAATCTTTAATTTTCTGTTAATATTTCGTCTTATTGTTGGAATTCAAAGGTACCTAGTTTTAAAATAAAACTAACTTGTCAAACAAAAATATTTAATTTTACTGTATGATTTAACAAATGTCGTGTAAGATGAACATCTTAAGAAAATTAATTACAATTGAAAAACCAAAATTATTTATAAGAAAATTAGCAACATTCAAAAATGCAAATGAACCTACACAAATGACTGTATTTGACAGAAAAGCTAAAGTTGTTCAAAAACAACGAGCAGCTATAGCAGAAGATAGTTCAGTTTATGAATACATTAAAGAAGAAGTTGGATATCGTTTATCAGATCGCCTTTTCGATATAAAACGACAATTTAATTTAGTGGTTGATCTAGGTTGTGGATATGGACATGTATCAAAACACATTTCCATAGACAATGTAAAAGAGTTAATTATGTGTGATATATGCCAAGAAATTTTGAATAAAGCAAAAAATCCTGAGCCTGAAGTAAAGGTTAGTAAAATAGTAGTAGACGAAGAGAAATTACCTTTTGAAAATGATAGTATTGATTTAATAATTAGTTGTTTAAATCTTCATTGGGTAAATAATTTACCTTCAACTTTCCTACAAATTAAAAATTCTTTGAAAAGTGATGGAGTCTTTTTAGGAGCAATGTTAGCAGGTGACACTTTATTTGAATTACGATCATCATTACAATTGGCAGGCATTGAACGTGATGGAGGTATAGCACCTAGAATATCACCATTCGTTAGACTTAGGGATGTGGGAGCACTAATGCAAAGTGCTGGATTTTCAATGCTAACATTGGACACAGATGAACTAATTATTCGTTACCCATCAATGTTTGAACTAATGTGGGACCTAAAAGGCATGGGAGAAAATAATGCTGTTCTACAGCGACCTTTACGATTGAACAAGAATACTATGTTTTCGGCAGCTTCTATATATGATAAACTTTATGGTAATAAAGATGAAGACAGTGAACTTAAAGGTATCCCAGCCACATTTCAAGTCTTGTACATGATAGGATGGAAACCAGATCCATCACAACCAAAACCATTATCTCGAGGCTCAGGACAAATATCCATTAAAGATATAGGAGAGCTTGATAAGATTGTCAAAAACATGGGAAAGATTGAAACATAATTTTCTTACTTAAAATATTTGTTATTTGTACTTGATTATAATTAAATGTCTTGAATATGAATATTAATTGTATACCTAATGATATTAGTTAAGTTAAATTGTTAAACAATACCTGATCAATAATATAGTTAGTTGCATATTATGTACAGTATTAATGTGTGAATATTTCAAATAAAAATGTTAAAATAAAAAATATAACAAGGTGTACCTACTTATGAATAAACATATCATAATAGATTATAAATAGGTCAAAATAATCCTTCAGTTAGTTAAAGTAGCTAACTCAGTAAATGGAAAAGTCCTATAAAAGTAATTTGGTAGTAATACCAACAGGCTAAAACTACCTATGAAACATAAAACAACCCAATATGTTGTTTGGCTGTTGTCGTACTTCAAAAATCATTGTTAAGTAACATTTATTGGCTACTGCCTTGTTAATATATTTTATTTGGTCAATGGACAGTAAACATATAAAATTAATAACAAATTAAAAGTAATTAATTGTCTAACATGATTATACAATAAATATGCATAAACCTACATTCAACATGAACTCATAAATAAAATGTCAGTGATACAGAATGATGTTTATATTATGCATAGACACTTAGCCATTAATAATAATATGCATACATTTTATATTGTTTAACAGTAGATAATATACATATTATATTATATTACACCTTATATTTTTTCTCATATTGTACATCATGCTGAGTAATATATTTTCTTTGGAAAGTTTTAATTTAATTTTTAAAAAACTGATAGGTAGGTGGTGTATTAAAATTAAATGCCAATAATTAGTTATAAATAAGCTATTATTGGTTAAATAGTATAGTCTTACGGTTTAAGTAAATCCTCTTCTTCCGGTAAGGGTTTTATGCGTACAAATACTCGCATCTGTTCTTCCTTAGTAACATTTCGTCCCCGTCCAGGAACAAGTTTTTTCAAATTTTCTAAGCTTCTACGGTTAAGAACCATTTTTAGATTTGTGCTAAAACCATGCAAATACAAATTAATAATTTAATAAATTAGCTATTAAGAATTTAGTTATGAAATAAATTAATTTCTAAACTCATCTCTTTCAATTTTAAAAAAATTGTAATAATTCCATAAGAACAATTGCACCAATTAATTTTAACTAAATTTTCCAATCAAAATTTAGCAGCATGTTGTTTGAAAAAATTGCAATTAGTAAAACTGGAATTACCAACTATAACTCTCAAAAATAGGAAAAAAAATCTTTGAGTAACTCACCCTTAATATCGTATCAGCTGTAGAGAAACCATACCGATGTTATAATATTTGTGTTCAAATCCTTACCTATCTACGATTTAACGATTAAGTGTGTCAAATTATGTTAACGCCGTTCTGTTTGTTTTCATACCCATTCGGAGTCACTACGAAAATAATTGAAACCGGACACGAGTTTAATAGATCAATAATGACATTAATGACTGCATTTCGAACGATTTATCATTATCACAACCAATGGTAATATTAATTAAAATGTACTAATCGCGCTACGAAGTACGAATAATATTTAAAGGTACACCACACTACTATAACTAAATATTATTATGATTTACCATACGGCGTTATAGACTTCAAAAAATACGTTATGTTTGTGAATCGGTGATTTGAAAAAAAAAAAAACAATAACCGATAAACCTTATGATAACTGCAGCGGTCCAACCACAGTCCAGTTTACTCATCGACAGTGCCACCAACAATAACTGTCCAATAATATTTTTAAAAATATATTAATACTAGAAAAAATAAATAGTACTTTTTCCATTTTTTTACAAGTTAGAACGTTGAAATCCTTGATTCTCACATAAACCTTATAGCTATTAGGCTTATACAATTATACGTTATTCTATGATAAAAGATTTAATATTCCCCGATTCGTCCCCATTAATTTTTGTAACATATTATCGGATCTTGTTCTGTGCTATAGCCGTGGTCATAGATAAATAAATAAAATATACAATATTATCTATGGCCGTGATCCGCTTTAGACTGCTTAACTCTTAGAAGTTATCGTTTATGATCTAAGCTCTATAGTCTTAGTCTATGACCTATGAGCTGATTTTACAAATTATGATTCTGAATTTCTGAATAATGAATTTTGAATAAAGTTGATATCCAAACACTATTGTCAAATCCACGGATACCAACAACAGTGGTCAAAACTCATAACTCCTGAGATAACAGGTTTCGTGTCACATACTGACGTGCAACTACAACTGTTGATCCCACAGCTTTAGATACTATCTAAATCCGTGGCTGATACTCTGATACGTACTGATACTAACGAGTAACGAGTAACGATAGTTTGAAATTTTGAATCGATTTTATATTTTTGTCGGTAAATAGGTACGAAATGCGCATACCATTATGTTAAAACTAAAATCGTTAATATTTAATATTTGATCGTCTCGAGGTGGTAAAGAGTTTCAAAATTACGAGTGGCGCAAATCTGACTTTGATGAATGACAACTGCTGGCCACGATGCCAGTCGCGAAGTTCGTTACGAACAGCTTGCCGGAGTTTCTGTTGCTTGCAGCGCAACCGCCGGAAACCTTGTTCTCCATGGACGCTGCAGTGCTGCGAGACCTCCATTCGGTGATCGTCTGTTACGACGTACAAGCTTTCTATCGGAACCGTGTTGTTGCAGACGGGCCCGCTGTTGGCCTGGATGAGTTTGTGCTATACTGTGATAGTAAGATCCAGCCACAGCTTGTCGACGGTGAAGGAGACGACAGCCCTAGGGACGGTTATCGGTGTCTGATGACTGTCAGCGATCTGATCAGGATGGATCCTTGGGCCCAGCTCTACGGTATCATTGGGCCACGCGTCATGCGTCGCCTGCTATTCGACTGTCTGCTGTTTGTGCCGCTGGGCAGACACGTATACTACTGCGTGCTATCGCCGTCACAGTCAACGAGCCGGTACGAAGTGATGCAGGCGTTCCGGGTGCGGGCTGGTTCACGGTGGAAGGCCGAGCGGCCTTCGAAGTCGAAACCACTGCCGCAGAAATACTTTAACATCGCGGGCCTACTGCGGGATGTGCAACCAATCGGGCGGCAAGATTCGGACGACATGTTGGACGGTATACTAAATACCGACGTTGTCAGCTCGGTGGCCGCCCGTTCGTCAAGCGCCAAGGTGGACTTTGGTAACGCGACATGTCTTGATCTGCTGGGCCGCAAACTCAAAGTGATTGCGGACAAGGACACTTCGCCTGCGTACTGGAACATTTACCGAGACGTGGTGGGCGATTGGACGTCGGCCGAGGTCCCATTGAGCAGGGTCAAGTCGTTCGCCAGGGCGGTAGTGCAAAAGATCGTGCCACGCGAGCTGTTTGGGACTGTTGGCAACCGCGACCAATTCTGTGACAACTTGTGCCGGGTGTTGAACGGTGGAAAGTTCCACGACTACACGGTGCAGCACGTCGTGCACAAGATCAAGGTGAAGAAGATCAAGTGGCTGGAGAGCGTGGCCGCGAACCGACAGGCCGAGATCGCGGCCAAGACGCTGGTGTGGCTAACCAACGTGTTTGTGTTTGGCCGAATTATCCACTGCTTTCGGGTCGTGACGACCACCACGCCCAACAACGGCGTCGCGTACGTGGTCAAAGCCAAGTGGGCGGAAATGTGCCACAAAAAGATATCACCGCTGATGGCCGCCGACAGCGAATTTTTCCGACAAATTCAGCCCGACGAGCCGAAAGCGTCGTCGTCGTACAGAAACTGGAAAGTGTGCCCTTACGCGAAACCCAACGGAGTGCGACTGATATTCAAGTTGCGGCAGAAAGAGGGCGGCAACGAGAAGCGGCTGACCGACGACTGTCTGACATTCCTGCGGTGCTTGTCGCGCACCCGACCCTCTGAATACCGGTCCGTGACGAGGTCGCAGTTCTTCCGCAGATGGAAAGCGCTCCAAGAGTCCCAGCGCCTGTCCGCCGTCGCCACGCTATTCTATGTACGCACCGATTTCCGGGATGCATTCACAAGCTTCGTGCACGACAAACTGCGGACGGTCATCCGGGACAGGATCAAGGAACGTTTCGGCAAGAAGCAGCGAATGGTGTCTGTGCACACAGTGGACGTCGTGAAAATCGGCGGTGGCTCCGTGTACTACAAGAAGTGTCGCTATGTGGGCGGGCTACCTACTCCCGAATTCCAGGGTGGGTCGCTGGTGTTCCACAACAAGACGGACGTGGTGCCGCTGTACCGGATCTGGGACGCGGTGCGCCGGTGCATCGGGTGTAACGCCGTGGAGCGGGGTGGCTTCCGATGGAGCATGACCAGAGGTGTGGTGCAGGGTGACCGGCTGTCCGTGGCCTTGTGTGACCTGCTTCTCTCCGACGTCCATGCCACTCAACTGACGGATCTGGTGGATGGTCGGTCGGGCTGTCAGCTGTACCGGTTTGTCGACGACTACCTGTTCGTGTCACCCGACCGCAACGCCGCCCTCCGGTATCTGGCTGTGATGCGCACCGGTTTCCACGAGTACGGACTCCGGCTGAATCGGTCCAAGACTGAGACGAACGTGGACGACGGAGGCGTCGGCGGTGAGACAGTCAAGTTTTTGGGGTTCCGGTTGAACGTGACCACTGGCGAGGTGACCAAGGACTTGTCGGCGTACCGAAATCGACGGCCGCTGCACTTCTTCGACTATGGACTGGGCCGCGGCCAACCGGGACGGTCCCTGTATGCCAAGGTCAGCCGGCCTAGCTGGCACCCCATGCCCACCGTGCTGGTCGACAAGTCTTTCAACTCGTCAGTCACGGTGGCCCGGAACGTGGCGTCCATGGTCGCATACAAGGCGTTCGCCGTCGTCACGGCCGTCAAGCAGTACTTCTTACACCTGAACCCTGTGTTCCTCGCCAACACTGTGCGCGCCATCGCCCGGATCGTATACTCCAACGCGCGCGCTGTCGTCCAGTACTCGGCCGTTACGCCCATGCAGTGTAAGTGGATCGTATACGAAGTGTATGCCACCATGTTCCGCAAACATTTCTCGCCTGATGACCCCCGCGTCGCATCAGTCGTGCAACGGATCCGGGTCATGCAGACCGCCGCCGGACGAAAGTGTTCCACTCGCATCCTGAGGGCTGGCCTGAGACGTTACGATTTTGCCAAAATGTTTGGTTGACGGAAAACTCCCCATCCCCCTCCCCCCCCCCCCACCACTACCGGTGGCGGTATAATATTTTTTTTGTTATTGTTATTGATTATTGTTGTATTTATAGTCATTGTTATAGCACTGTGTAATGTTCTCAGTATTACTGTATTTAGGTATTAATATAATTATTTAGGTTAAATCTAACCTATTTTAAAGTCTTGGTAACTGTTTATTCGTTTTTTTCTATGTCAATGATATAAGACTATACGTGTATAATATACTACATAATATGCTGTAATGAAACAACCATACTTGGAAAGTACGCCAATGTTGCGATGTAAATGAGGCTGTCTTGTAACTCGAGATTCAGATTTAAAAGTTAGTAGAATATAGTCCATAGAATATAGTCTATAGATAATATAAGAATCTATAGGCACTTCCTATATACCAAAATAGACAATAGTGGATCGCGCAGTCCGGAATGTGTATATGAGAGACAGACTGCTTTTATATAGTGTTCTCACTCCGGCAAGGTGTTTTATCATTAATTGTAGTTGTTATATAACTGATAATACCCATCGAAACCTCAAAATATCAAAAAGTTCATTCTGGCCAATGGCAACCTACCTATTCATTGTTATAAAAAAAGGTATATTTAGGTATGGATAGTGATCTGTTTGGTCATCATATAGTAAATATGTGTCACATACTCACATCATACGACATGTTAAACTATGACGGCGTATCTGAGTATCTGACACATAAATTGCCTATTCAAGGCAGTTTAAATCATGCAGATTACTCAGAATTGTCAATAACACATCCAGTGTCATAATGTATTGATATAAATACACTAAATACACCATTCATCAAGCCTGGGCAAGTTAATGATGATTTTTAACTGATTTAAGTTAAGTTGATAAAAAACATTTTAAAAAGTTTAAAGTTAATAGTTATACATTTTTTTTTAAACTCGGTTAAGTTAAAAGTTATTTGAAAACTTACAATTAATTTATTATTTTAAGTTAAGTTATTATTTATTTTTAAAATAATAATAATAATAATAATAATATATTATGAATATAAAAAAAGTTAACCAATTTTAATAATTAAATGTAAAATTTAAAAAAACAATGTAGATTTCGATAAAGATGTCTATAATCCTAATATAACTTTAGCAGTTTAGCTTAGATTTTATTTGTTTTGGAAATTATTACTGTCATTCGTGTCCATCTAACCTTGACGCAAACGAGGATATCCAAGAATAAACGAACAAATAAATAGGTAATCATTTTGGTGCAAATTACAAATTCTATTTTCGACTACCTGAGGGTGGTGCAAATTACTAACTCCCGTTAATTTTACCGAAGTCTCCCGATTGCGCCCCTCTCAGACACATTGGTTCGCAAAATAGCTTATACCTACTTGATAAAATTAAGCATTTTGTATTAGACATATTTGTATATGCAACTCAAATACAATCTCTCGTAGTCTCGTTTATGATTATTATCATAAATATATTAATAAATATAGGTACAAGCATTTCTTACAAGACTATAAATAGTATATATTTAGTCTTACATTTTATCTAATTTGTTTTATCTTTAATGGACTGGAAATGACCACGCCGAATATTGGTGATCTTGGGAATTGTGAATACGATAATTATATATTTATGTCAAAATACGTACCGGACGCAATCGGGATATTTATTTAGTTTTGATAACCACTGTATAGGTAGTTTTCTATCTAATGTGTATGGGCCGCAATTGGGATAGGTGAAAAGGTAAAAAGGTTACTTTGGGCCGCAATCGGGCGACACCCCATGGCGTGGCTTTTTTTCATCTGTCATCAGTCATCAGTCATCACGTTTTGCAATGGGACAGTAAAAGTGCATCGATTTTCTTCAACAGCATCTTTTCTCCTAGGTACGTGAATCTAGGTGGTACTTTAAGGGGTAACATATAAAAACCAAATAATTTTCAAAATTATCAGGAAAAACTAAAGGAAAATTAAGATTTTTAAACAAAATCAGTTTTTGAAAAAAACGATTTTGTTTCTTCGTGGAACACTAAAAAAACAATTATAGATCCATGAAATATTCACAAAATGTTTAAATACCTTTTAAACATTTAATGCAAAATCTCCTTAATGTTTTCCTACGTTTAACAAAAAAACAGAAATTTACCAGAAGTCAAATTAATTTTTTAAGGACCTTAATTGAAGTTAAGCATTAGATATTATATTCGTCTGTAAATTATCAAATTCTCATACAACAGTTTTCTTATTTCAAAAACTAATAAGTAATATTGAAATTTATATCAAATGTTTATTTTATCATCATTAGATTTTCAAAACATTGACTCGTTTTTAATTATTTACAGACATTTGAAATTTGAAAATTTTTTTTATAAACTTTAGTAACATATGTTCGTTGAGTCGAACGCCGAAACGCTTGATAATACTATAGGTTCCTCGTAAGTAGTTATAATATCAGTTGACAAATATTAAATATCCATAGGCACATTTTTTAAAAGTTATTTAATGTTCAATTTTTTTTATAAAATTTATCAAAATCTTGAATTTTAGAAAATTGTTAGAAAATTATATAATGTTCCATTTTTATAGCTGGGGATTGAAAATTTAAAATAAGGATTCTCATAAATAATTCATACTGTAACCGAAAAATCTAAAAATATATATAAACACAGTTATTTGTTGTAGGTATAAGCTACTTTAAGTTCAAATTTGGACGAAATTACATATAAAAACCAAAAATAACGGTTTGAATTATTTTATTGTGGTTTAAAAATATTATTCATCGGTATATGAAACTTAAGAGTATAAAATATTAAAATGATATATCATATATGTTTATAAACACAATGACATTTTCAAATGTAATTTTTTTGGCAAATATTAATTTAACCTACTGCAATATAACAGTGTAACGTGTAATAGTAAAATAAATAGCTTTAATAAAAAATCAAAATAATATCATCAAATATACTTAGTTATGTTATAGGCGGACAAGTCTTCACTTCTATGAGCGGAATACAGACGTACAGTTAGTGTACTTGGAATTCAACATTTAACATTTCCAGTAGTTTTTAAAAGCGTTGGGAAAAACAAAAAAAATTAAGAAAAAATATTAATATTTAAGCGAAATCGGTTTTTGACAAAAAACCACGAAAATTTACCCTAAATTAATTTTACTTAGGTATACTAAGTCCCTTATAAGATGTTCAATTTAAAAATATTAAAGATTGATATTATGGCATTATGCATGATTTTCTTTATTGAAAAATTAATGTCATTATAATGTTCTAGTTCATGTGTTCTTAAAAATATGAAAGAAATGGTTATTTAGGGAATTATGTTATTAACTTTAGTACTTTACTATGGTTGGATTAGGAATCGTTTAAATAATTTTGGTACCCATAGTAATTATACTATAATATATTTTAATTATTATTTATTATATTTTGAAACAACTGTTGAAGAGGTCAGGGGAGCGAGTCTCCCTTCCTGGATTCGCCACTGGGCACAGTGCTGCAGTCGCACAGATTCACGACAGTGTGTCACTGTGTCAGACGTCACTGATGGTACACATGGAAGTAGTAACTTGTAGTAAATAAATACATTTTATCGTGGAATCAAAGACCGACGTCTATTTTTTGACGTATTCAATTCGCAGTTCCTAAGCCATAAACGCATATCAGCATACCACTAAGACAAAATAAATCCATCTATTTTGTGATGCTGTAATGCTGAGGAGTAAGTTGGCGCCGCGCCAGTCGCCAACAGCTGCTACTTTCACTTTTGCACTGCGAAAATTGTACCCTCATTAATGCGCATGCGGTGTGTGAACAGCTGATATTATACTCTATACAACATTTATTATATGTCCGAAATATCATGACTCACTAGTCACTGATAGTCAAGTTCAAACAACAAAACTGATAATATTTATCTCAAAAATCGAATGGCCGACTGCCGTAGTTGTTGAATCATAAGCTGTAGTTGTTACTCGTTAGTCGTGGTTATTTTTAAATATCCATAATCCATGTCATTGTTGCATGACGACGAAATTGGGTGGCGATACCGTCGTCTTACCTAATCAGGTGCTCACAACTCGTAAGTACTACGTAAGGCGAACTACCCGAGGTAGTTTATCCCACGGTAGAATTGTTCTACTATTTAAAGGTTTGGTGCCTGACGAGTCTTTGGTTAAGTCTAATACCGACTAATAAAAAGTATTAAAACTACTTATTTTTGACACTTGATTGACAATTGTAGTAAAAACATACGATTACTTAAAAATCATTTAAATTCTAAGCCTTACATTAATTATAAGTCTAGCAATAATTCAAAGTAGATACCTAATTAGATAAGCTGGTACTTAGTATTACTTAATCTATACAAACTATACAGTTTTTAAATTAAATTTTTATATTAATGTAATTTTAAACCGAAATTTACTAATTTTACTTAATGTATGAACATTTTATTTTCTAGGTTATTATGGCAAAAACTCAAGTTAATTTAATTACAATTTTTGTTACCTTTGCTATTCTTAACAAGAAATTCTTTACATAACATTTTACAGGTTCCTATGTAAGAACATTATGTAGCATTACACATTTGTAGATGAGCCATCAGAATGACAGTCGCGGTATTGGATAAATATCATTTGGGCATTAGTGCCATTGTTGTTGTGGCTATGCAACTTTTATTTTTCACTATTGCCGTTACATTTCAGTATGATAAAGTGGCTGATTTTGCTGGTGGTATAAGTTTTATTTTAGTGGCTGTGCTAACATATGGATTAGCTCAGGTAAAATATGCTCAAATATTACTTTATAGCATATAAATTACTATTAATATTGGTTAAACTAAACCTGCTAATGAAATATAATCATGGGAGTATCTAGTAAATAATAATATACTTAATATTCAAAGTGAATAAAATTGTTTAAGACAAACAGTCAAATGAGTTGTTTACCAAGTTTATATTAGTTGGATGTTTTTAAGAATCACATTAAATGTGATTATACTTTATTCCCTAAATACAATTTATGTAGATCTAAAATAACTTTTTAAGTAATTGGTTGACTATTAAAAAAACATGTATTATGACATATTTTTTAATTATCTAGTTCAAGTCCACAAGTATATTACAGTCCTTGAAATATCATAAATTCATATTTTATATGAAAACATAGGAAAATAGTATAGGCAACTAAACATATTGCAATAATGTTGCATATATAAAATCCCTGGATTCAAACACTATAACACAATAATAATAATAATATTATGTACATTCAATGCATAAAATATAAAAATATTACTTTGAAAAATCATAACGTTTGAATTAATTGAACTGTCAGACTATTTTTTATCACAAAATTCAAACATTTAGACATTAAATATTAAATTATAAGAAAAATATCAGCTAATTAATAAATGTTTTTTGGCAGTAACTGGCATTGTAAAGTTATTACAGAAAAAAAACATACTTAAGTAATATAAAAATAATCAGTAATAATAAACTAAATAATTTTAATAATTTCATTTAGATGTTTGTGATTAAAATAGTTACTATTTTATTTATTTATTATTTAGACACACGATAATCGACAATTTATGGTAACATTATTTGTATGCATTTGGGGTGCTCGATTAAGTTCTTATTTATTTTATCGAATAATAAAAATTGGAAGGGATGCAACATTTCCAGACAGACGTAGCAATATGATTCGCTTTGCTGTGTTTTGGACATTTCAAGTATAACTGCCTTTTATTTTAACAGATTGTATTTAATTACATAGTATTTTTTAATTTGATGTTGTACTAATTTAGTTTTGAATTTTATAATTATTCCCTAGGCTATTTGGGTGCTTGTTGTTAGCTTACCTATTATTGTTATTAATGCACCTCATAATTCGATAAAAGCTGGAGCCCCTAAAACTATGACAACATTGGATACTGTTGGCTGTTGTGTGTTCATTTTTGGTTTCATTATTGAAACTTTTGCTGATTTACAAAAGTATGCATTTAGAAGCGAAGAGACAAACAAAGGAAAATGGTGTGATGACGGTAAGTCAAAAAATGCTATTTATCTTGTTATTAGTCTTGCTATGGGCAAAACAATCGCTCTTAATTAATATCTTCTATTAAACATTTCTTTTCACACTTAGGTATTTGAAACTTACAAATCTTTTAATTAGGTCATTCTCCTGGGTATCACTAGTCATAATTCTGGGTTAGCAAGACATAAATATCTAAAAAAAATTGATTTTGCTATTATCCATAATTCTATTCTTCACGCTTGATATTCAACATTTTATACTATTACAAGATTTTCAATATTCAAACACTAATTTTTGTTTCAACATTTTCATTTTCATTTAATTGTACATTTATCGTTTTAACTATTCTATTATAGTGTAACACTTATCAGTTAAATGTTACTACTTACTAGTTGCCAAATATATTGACTTTATTATTTGTAATTTGACCTTTCTTATTTAAATCCCATTTAGTTAGTTTTTTTTTGTGGGGTAGTGAAAGTGGCCTTCAGTACCCCCTAGTGATGCCAATGGTCATTATTTATGATATTTCCATCATATCGACCAGTAGATGAATAACCATGTTTTTAAAACTTGACTGTCCTAATCTATCGTTTAATTTTGTTTAAATTTATTATGCAAGTTATGAGCATTTTAAAATGTACAAACAATTTACAAGGTTAAAATGCTCATAGCTAGCTTTGAAATTAAAATATAAACTAATCCTATGTTAGCCACTAGATAATATTCTTACTTCTAAATTTGGTAATAGGTCAATTCACCTAAAATTAAATACAACAGAGTTAAATGAATTATTCAGATCATACAATTTGTTATGTTATGCATTTGAAAGACAGGTACAATACATGTGGGTATGGCATCATCTCAAGGAAGTGCATGCATTTTGAATACTACCACTTAAATAGCATAATTATGAGTACTCTTTAATATCTTGATGTCTGATTTACAAAAAAAGCCTTAGTTCATATTGAACACCTGTATGTCAAAATATTGAATGTTTCCAATTGTTGTTTACACAATTTATTTTAAAACAAAAGAATTCATTTTAATTTAAAAATCTATACACTAATAAATGTAAACATTTTATTAATTAAACATTTCTATTCACTTGATAGTAAGAGTTGCCGCAGCCATGGATTTTATATTTTTGTTATATACTAACTACCTACCAACTATAATTAATGAGTATAATATAGAATCAATGTTGCTACTTATATCAATACCACAAAACTATGGACAACAATTGATACTTTCTAATATACCAAATATGAAAGTATTAACTTACCTTTAAAATAATATTATAATTGGTTAAAAATCAATAAAAATATACTGTAATCAAAATGGCAGTCAATATGTTAAGGTTGCATCTAAAAATTGCTATAATGTAGTTTCATGTTAAATTAGAAATGCCATTGCTATAAATAAACAACCAATTTATATGAACATATTATCACACTTTAAGCTAAGTTAAAAAATATTAACACATTAGTGTTATATTTTAATATTTAATATGTTTAATATGTTTACTGTAGGTCTATGGAGTATGTCTAGACATCCAAATTATTTTGGAGAAATAGTATTATGGTGGGGTGTTTTTATTGTGTCATTGAATGTGATTGAAGGTCCAGAGTATATTGTTGTTGTATCGCCAATTTTTACAACATTTATCATACTCTTTCTCTCTGGTATTCCACATTTGGAACGTGTTTCAGATCATAGATTCAGAAAGTATGTTAACTAAAAAAAATTTTTTTATGTAATTTATGTTATATGTTGTTGTTTTTTGTTATATTATACTGATTTTATATAAATTAGTTTTAAAATTATTACTAACCATTATTTGTATTGGGTTTGTCTTGTTTATCAATGAATAATTATTTAAATAATTACAATATTCACCAATATGTTATTTTATACATTCTAGCAATGCTCATTATCAGCTTTACAAACGATCCACTTCACCATTAATACCTATACCGCCGTCACTTTATATTGAAGTTCCGGGTTTTATTAAAATGCTCTGTTGTTGTGAACTACCTTTATATAATTGGATGAGAGCACATCCTTCAGATCCTCCAGAAGCAGCTCCAGCTCCAAAATCATCCTAGCAAAAAAAGGGAGCGGGTGTAACTATGGTACAGATTACAGATCGCTCCCAAGAAGGTCCTGTGTACTCAACAGCCACCACGTACGTCTAAAATATAAAACATCTAAAAATATTTATTTGATAAAGATAATTATTATAAAAATAATGCATTTAGGCAGTATGGACATCATCAAGTAGGTAATTATTAAAAAGTAAATGTCTAATACCCATTTCTTTTCATGTACTGTTTAGTTAAATATATTTAGAATAAACCAATGAATTCATTATGGAAAAATAATAAGTATTATGATGAATTACTGTTAAAGAAGTTATATTTATTCTAACCAAATTTTGTTTTTTTTTTTTGTGTGCAAGTGTATGTTTCATTATTAATAATTATTTAATAATTTATTATTGAGATATCGCAGTTCTTCTTCCATTATAGTGTTAGCTTATAAAGGTACTTATTGTGTCAAGTAGGTTTGAAATATGGGATCCAACTATAATTTTTAAAAAATGTCTACATAGTTTTACAATAAAAACACTTATGATTAGTTAAAATACCCCTGTAGTTTTACGTGCCTATGCTAATAACACGAAACACATCAGCTGAAGATAAATGCAAATTACAATATACATTTTTAAATATTTTCATAAGTCAACTAAATAAATAAGCAAGTCAACATTATTCTTCATCATTACTTATAATTTCTACTTAATAATCAACTTTTAAAATCTGTTCTAGTTTACATTTTATTCGTATAACTGTAAATTTTAACTATCCTGTATATTTAAAAAAAATTAAACATGAATATTAATCTGAAATAAAATAAATAATTACATACATTATAAATTTTAAATGAATCAAACCCATTTCGTTTATTTAGATTTGTATTTATTTGTATTTATTTTTAGTTAGGTATTGTTAAGATTAGGCTGACTAAAAAATAATAGGCCCAGTGAATTATAAAAATAAAATCAAAAATACTTTTAAGATTCCACAGTTACTACTTACCAACTAGTATATAATAATATGTTACTCAATTTTAGTATAGTATAAATTAAAGTAATAATATATTATAGTTTTAATTAAAACTCCATAATTTTTTTAGTTTTGCCATGAAAGTCTACCAAAATATTGATTATTAAATCTGATTGTGAATCTTGCATAGGCAATATACGCACGCAGTAAAAAAAGTTTTTTGTTCTAAATGATATAATTATAATTTCTTAAAATAAAAATAAATGTTTGTTTTAAATTGTATTGCACTAATGTTAAGTGGACTTAATCATAAATGATATGTATTTATATAATTATATTTATCAGCACGCAGCACTTCAATATATATTTTGCAATAAACGAGTAAACGACTTAATGTTATGACTTTGAGGAAAGTTTTATAGATTTAATCTTTTAGCTTCAGATAATTATAGTCCTGGATTTCAATTATTATATAGTAATCATAAAAATGTTATAATTAATAATAATTAATAACCAAAAAGTATATAATACAATGAGATAATTTATATTTTATTCTAGATTCTATGAGGAGCAATATGGTTTCACAATAATGTCTTTTTTTCATTTATTTATTTTTGTGCTCTTTTTGAGTCGTTTTTGGTTACAAATTGAATCTAGTTAGTATTTGGGGACTCACAAGTATAAAATCCCCAGAAACATTTAAAAAATAATAATTTAGAAAAACAATTTTTAAAAAAACTTCAAAATGTTACAGTAAAAATACTGAAATATAACATATGTAATTAACTCAAACTTAGATTTAATTAAATTTGTGAACTATGAATGGTTGATTTTTTTTAGTCTCATAGTTATTATAGTTTAATTAAGATCTGATACTCGTGTTTCTAAGTTTGATTATTCGCACAACTACCCATTAATGATTAATAATAATAATATTCATTTTCAGTACTATCAATATTTAAATTATACAGTTGAACTCTTGTTTAATAATGTTATTAATAATTTGTAATTTTAGCTGGCCTATTTTGAGGCTTATTAAGTTGAATTTGAGTTGTTTGAATTATTTTGTTGAGTTTTTGAAGTATTAATATTATATTTTAAGCATTTGCTAAAATATCTGCAAAATGCAAGTATAAGCACAGTAGCGTATGTGTTATATTCTTATTGGCCAATTGAGTTAATTTTTTAGGTATTAACTATACATAATGTAATAGTATTGATTATTTCCAAAGAATATAAATAGCTCAAAATGAATTGTTTAGTTTTAATAATTTAATTAAGTTTAAAAGAGTTGCATATAATTTGTGATATTAGAATTATTTCTTGATCTGTGATTACTTAAATATTTCCTGTACAATTACTTTAGATACTTTTGAGAGCTTTCAATAGTATATAATTTACCATATTTTATAATATATTAAATAAATAAACAAATTCTAATAATTATTTAGTCAAATTAATCATATATTATTTTAACTTCTTATCTGGAGCATCCCAAAATAAGTCAGATGATTAAAGTGTATTTTGTCTACAGGGAATATAGATGAATGGTATTACAATTATATAAATTATTAATAAACTTATTTTATTTATTTATTATTTAAATCAGCGGTTCCCTAAGTGTGCGCCGCGGCACTCTGGTGCGCCACAGTGCCTTCACAGGGGCCGTAGAATTTCATATGGTCCAAAAATAAATTTGAAAACCCGACGATGGTGGCGACAGAAATGATTACGATTATGATTATGTAAATATAAATATATAAACTATGTATAATTTTAATTAAATCCATTTTCTATTTCTTCTGATTAGTCATCCTATGACTTGGGGAGTATAAAAAAACCTTTGATCAAAAATGTGCCACAACCCAAAAAAGTTTGGAAACCGCTGGTTTAAATAGTATAGTTAAACTTTTTTACTAAAGTACTTGACCTATTCTACAATTTTTGTATATTTTCACTTATTATATTCACATTTATATATTTAAGCTTACATTTTCTTATGACACCATATGCATATGTTGCACCAAATATTTTCACTTTAGTAAGAGTGTGCAAACTTATTAAATAATTACTTTATTTTACTTTTTACTATTTAAGAAATAAAAAAAAGTTACAAACTAATTCTTATACATTTTCAATTATATAATGAGTCATATCTTAGTTACATTACTATTTACTTATATAAGTATTTAATGTATTAAAAAAATATAGTTTTAATATTAATTGTATCAATATATCTTTATCTATAATTGATAACTGTTATTGCCTATTCAGTATGCAAGTATATATTATGTTCTCATTATTTAAAATAATAGATATTATATTCATCTGTTATTTATCTCTGTAACAATAGAAAATAGTAGTGTATGTAATTACTATTTATTAATTTTTTCATACTCTTTGGTTGTAAATTATAAATGTATAGTTACAAAATTTAAATAATTGTTTTCTTATAAATATGATTTTAATTTTTAACTGTTAAATTGAACATTGTTTGCAATTTGTATTAATATATTTAAAATATTGTTTTATTCCTTTGTTGTTTTATTTTATATTTCATATGTTCATGTTTACTATACAAATAAAACCAAATTTGAAAAAAAACTCAATAAATTCAAGGCTGGGCATAAACAAGTTCAAAAGTTAAAAGTTAAGTTAATTTTAACTTTTAACTTAAATTCTTAAAATTTAATTAGCATTAACTTAATTTTTAACTTAACTGGTTTTTATACCTAAACTTAATAAATAACAAGTTACTTTTAATCAAATCCAATTTTGTTCATTTATAAAAAAATAAATTATAAATATAATAAAATTATTATTGATAATTAAAGCATCTTATGTGAGCTTCATAAAAATATACTTTTTATTATTTTAACCATATAGCTATAGGTGCTTATATACTAAAAATAAATAAATAAATAACTTAACTTAAGTTAATAAAAAATAACTTATAACTTAACTGAGTTTAAAAAAAAATTGGATAATGTAAATAAATAAAAAGACTATAGCGTATATAGACTACTGTATATTTATTAACATAAGAGATGCTCCTCACGTCGGCGTCGGGAACTAACTGGCCGACTGTCGTGTGCAGTGTTGCAACCGTACAATGTAATATGTGATTTAGAACCTTACATTCGGCCCAAAAAAAAAAATTAACAATGAAATAAAGTATAATAAATCATGGTGTAATAATAAATTAATAACATAACTAAATGATAAAATAATACTATCTTGTATAGAATTACAACTTATGTTTTCTTGTTGTTTTTTTTTTTAATAATAATTAAAATAATGAAATAATAAATTAATAACTTTAGTTAATAACCTTAATAGGAACAAACATAATAATAAGCACCTCAACTAAATAATTAATAGTGGTACAAAATAGTAACTGATAATAAAAGATAAGTATAAAAGTATTTAATGTTTTATAATAATTTTAGTATAATACCTATCGGCCCAAAAAAAAATTAATACATAATAACATTAACCTACTATATAATCTTTTAACCAAGATGGTGTCTTGCGAGTACGTTTGTTAATGTTGTTTACCTCTGTGTCTATGGCTGGTGTAGGAGAATTGATTTGGGTGTTGTCTGTGAGGGAAGTTGGAGGTGATTGTTGATTGTTATCCTCAAATTGAATCTCGCCTGGATCATCCAAATTTGGTCTGTATTGAGCTGGTTTAAGTGATTGTACATAAACTATTCTGGAATGTTTTTTGTTTGTTGCATCGGCCCTGGTAATTTTATAACAAACTTTTCCAACTGGGTGTTCAATAACAAATGGTCCTTTAAAATTTGGTGTAAGTTTTGTGTCATTTGTAGACTGCCAGTTATACCATACTCGTTGACCTGGCTGGAAGTTGTGATGGCTTCTATGTTGATCGAATCGTTTTTTGTTTAATTTGTGATTGTCTTTTAAGTTTTCAATTGCTATACCTCTACTTTCTGCAAGTAAGTCTAGTTGATCCATTCTTGACAGGTCTGACTGTACTGAACCTAGTGCCATATCCATAGTAGAAAGTTTTGGTTCATAACCATGTAATAAGTAGAAAGGTGAAAACTTTGTAAACCTTACAATAACTATTAACTTTAAACTTTTTAAAATGTTTTCTATGAACTTAAATTAATTTGGTTAAAAATTATCATTAACTTGCCCAGACTTGAAAATAATAAGCAAAAATACGGCAAATCTGCTATGGTTTAATAATTTTTAACTTATAAGTTATAAGAAACTAATCCTAATGCCAGGTTGAAATCAGCCAGCATGAAAAATCTATTAATTCAAGTAAAATGACATGTAAAATTTAAAGGTCAGATTATCATCTCAGGCATCTGATAAGCTTTTTTTATATATTAATTTTAAAGCGAGTTATGAATGTTTTAAGATGTACAAACAATTTACAATTTTAAAATACTCATAACTCAATTTAAAATCAATGTATAGTAAAATAATCTATGAGATGCCCTAGATAATAATCTTACCTTTACATTTTATATGATGTCATTTCACTCTAATTTTAGAAATTATAATGATTATAATGATTATTGTGAACGTAAAATTTGCTATGTTGTGCGTGGGTCAGAGAAAAAGAAATAAACAGTGCGCTAACATCATCTTAAATGTTTAGTGATTGTTTATGCAATCATTGCAATATACCATAAATAGTTTTAATTATACATATTAAATAATGAAGCATGCTCTTTATTCATTCATGTGTTGTGAAATAATACTAAAATGAGACTATCATATTCAAAAGGTAGACAAATAGTATCTATTTGATAAATTATTGTCTTATTTTAAAAATCTTTACCTAAAAATGTGTATTATGTATAAATGTTGAATGTTTACTATATAGTATATAGTAAAAGTAGGTTACATTAAATAATAAATGCATCACTTTGTGTCGTTCTGTTTGAGTCACAGTGCATAAATAGTTAAATACCACACAAACGGCAATCGCATTAGACATTTATAATTCGGCGAGGTTATAGGCTATTTTATAGTAGGTCTGGTTGCTTTGAATTTCTACAACATGAATGTGATTTAAATATTCAACAATGCATTTTTCGATTGACTACTGTTATTTAAGCCAAAGCTTGGTCAATAAATTATAATATTATCATATTTATGTTACCTATACCTATTACCTATCAAATATCTGTGTTAGGGAGATAAGTTGTTCTCTTACTTTTCAAGTAATTTATTTACATTTTATTGTAAGTAATTTATACATTATGGAACATTTAAAAAAAAACATATTTTAAGAACCAGATGATAATTAATGTTAAATTATCATATAGGTAGTTATGATTTTCTCACAGTTTTTAAAGCTGTTTGACAAAAAAAGTTGTATTTTTAATAAATACCTAGTAGGTATCTTAGAAATGTATTGTGATTTAAAATTAAAAAATAATAAGTTACACAGTTATTTATTTATTTGGTTTGTTATTATGAACATTTTATAATATTTCATATTATTGATTGTGATTACCTACTTAGAGAATGTACTAATGTATTAACAAAATAATTATTAAGCTCCGTTGAAATTGCCTTTGATCAAATAAAAACTAAGTGTCTAAGTGAATTAAGAATAATTTAATTACAATAATTGTAATTATTGTAATTATTTTGAGAGGTATTTTGTAATGGAATTTAATTACCAAAAAACAAAAGCCTTCCCCGACACAAGGTAGGTACCTATTATAATTCTACTTGGCGTAATATAATAAACAGTGTTATACTTCTTTAATAATATAAACTATAAAGTAAGAATGTTTAATGATTGTAACTAGTAAGTTATAATTTATAACTGACCTCTGCAGGCCTTGATTTTATTATAATTATGTGCAGTAAAAGACATAGGTACCTAGTGTTATTATTAATTCCAACAAACACACTCCATCAACTAAGTGTAAAAACCTCGATAAGAAAAACTTAAGTAAGAAAAGTTGTGATATCAAAAAGGGGCTAAGTAGGTAATTTTCTAAATTCATTAGTAGGTACAGAAATTATTTATAATTGTTTGTATTTGATGAAGTAGTTCGATAATTTAATACAAATATTTAAATTTGGCTTGGCGGCTAATAATATTTACGACTACAACTCAAGATATAATGCTCACATGTACATGAAAATATTACCATAACACTATTTAAGTATGCGCTATGATTAGTAGCCGAGCTAAGTTAAATTATCACACTAGGTACTTCATTAAATATTTAAATACTAACAACTATAAACAATTTCTATGCTAATGAGTTTAGAAATTACTACTAGCCCCCTTTTTGATATTATCACAACTTTTTTTTAATTATAGATGTTTTTTACACGTAGTTGAAGGAGTGTTTTTGTTGGAATATCACTCATTTTTTTTTTAAATTTTCGATATCATTAGCATAAAATATCTCTAGCTTATGAATGTTGCTGGAAAACCATAATGCAAACATCCTTAGCTCCATTAGGGCATCAATCATAATACATTTTTGTATCATCGCATCTAACCCATTTATTACTTTGACGAATGAATGGACAGACGCCATTGAATTAAGTAGCAGATCACTAACCACTGAGCGACGATGACAAATGTAATAAACTAATAAATAATATTGCAATAATGCATGTGAACATTGTGAACTGACTAGACTACGGAACGAGTCGGTGTTATCCCCCATTTCCCCCTACCATGCACTGTTTAAATAGCGATTGCAACCGATATCAGTGGCATTGCTGGTCTGGTTGCTTGGAAAGAGAAATATGGGCAGCCAGCATAAACGCGGCGCGTACAACATATACATTGTTAAATTGAACAAAAAAATAGTGTTTCGATCAATAATTATACTCAGGCAGTCAGGCCTCAGGGTGCGACCCTCCTATCAACTTGAAATTCATAAAAGTATCATCTGCATAGAATTATACTGATCATTAGGTGTAAATTACAAGTCAATCAGTTCATTAGTTAAGGCTACAGAGAAGTCGCACCATTGTTCGTAAAATAACATAAATACGAGTTGGTCGTCTCGTGTAATAATGTAGTGCCGTTGTCAAGAATCACGAGCTTTTATTTTTTCTTAGCTCTGGATTGTCATAGTTACTATGAATGGATATCACTGATATCAGATGATCCATTTAAGTAAGACACTCAAAATCTATTGTCGTTTTTAAAAATATTTATTTTACTTAATTAATAAGTCGTTAAAAACAACACTTTTCTAAAAGAAATATATTTTTATCGTTATCATTTTTTAAATTGTTAACTTTTTAAGTCCCCTGCTTCAAAATATGAAATTAAATATGTTGTCATTGAAAAAAGTAAAAAAACAAAAAAAATGGTAAGCTTTGTCTAGTAACGACTTAAAGTTAAAATTATGTAATTAAATATTTTCAAAAACTTAAGGTTTACCTGAAATAAAGAGTGTTTTATGTTAAATTAATCACCTTGAATAAATGTACAAGCCGTGGCGGTGAGCATCCGGGAGTCGCGGTGTTAACTATCTAAATACGTATCTATACCACACCTCTAAAATAAATATTTATATATAATTTTGAGACTCCAAAATCGTCTGTAGTATTAAAATAATTTGTAATACATATTCTGTATTTTTGTTACCTATATATATAACAATTTACAAATGCATATTTACATTTATGTTTTATTTTATTTGTTAAGAATATAAACTATTACTAGTTTAATAAGTAAGTTACTAGTCTTTTGAATAGTTTCTGCGACCCCTATTAAAATCCACTCAGCTTACTCGGCTGGCACCTGCAGCCTGTTGGTATGCCGTATATATCCGCGCATATATGAACTATATAATAAAAATATATATTATGCAAAACGATATTTATTCTTTTTTATACGCTGTAGTCTCGCGTATAACGGTAAACGGTATAGGTACTGTGTTACTGTGGTTTGCAGTATATGTTTCTGCAAACTGGTCCAAGCAGGAGTAGGTTAACTGTTAATAAGTATACAACTTTTATAATATATAATATTATAGTATTGGTTCCGTCTTTGTGGAGGGAAATGAGTAGCCTACAGACCTGGTAGGGGAGTAGGGCGTACACATATAATGAGTATACTATTTACCTACGGCTATACAGGGTGATTCATTAAGTTTGCTCACCACCTTTTTTCCTTCACTAATGTAGTTATTCAAAATCTGATTTTTGGAATTTGTAAATATACGTCAAGATGATATTTTTTAATTCCTCAATTGTTGTATAACTTAAGGAGTATTCTATGGAGATAAAAACTTCTGTTTTCCAGTCGAGAAACTCCTTTTTCTATTGTAAATTAAGTAGGTATTTAGTGGATATTCTTGCACAAAATAATGTCTTATCAAAATTTGAATGATTAGTTTTTAAATTATTTAACTTAGTGTTTCAAAGATAGTAGGCTCGTGTATTAATAGGTTTGGAAGATATATATGTGACTGAAGTGATTTGAAAATGTTAGTAATTGATCAATATTTATTAATTGTACAAATGGTCCATGTATATTACGTCATAATATTTATCATATTTTTGTAAAACCATTCTAAAGAACTGTAATAATTAGGTATCTATCCTTAGTATAAACATTTTGATAACTGAGAAATTATACTCGTTTGAATTTTGAATTAGGTACATCAACTTTTTCAAAAAAATTATCCGACTATATACTTTACAGTATAAAAAACTCCGGTTCTCATTAAAAAACCGAAGTTTGTATCGCCCCAGAAGGACATCCTATAATCTTAAGTAGAAAGCAACATTTCAAGAATTCTTAATGTGGTCTTTAATTAAAAGTCTAAAAACTTAGGGTGTATTTAAAAATTACCAAATTCAGGATTCGAAAAAATTCATTATTAAACGAGAACATGCTGGTCAGCATGCTCGGCGGAGTCGCGGAGAATCACACTGCATACTTAAATGTAATGTAATATGATTCGAGAACGGCGCACGCTGGATTATTACGAATTATGATGTATATGAGTGTATTCTGTACAGACATTATACCGTAATTTTATATTAGGTTATCACTTGTTTTAATGATTCCCTCGTCCTTGTAACGTCCACGTCGTGCCAGAATCGTAGATCGCGCTATACCTTTTATATACGAATATTATGTTTTTAGCATTATGTGTTGTAGCCGCGAGTTGTATTCTAGTTGGGTGCTGACTACGACGACGCCGTGTTCATTCGCTGTCAATAATTCAATGCGTATGGCTGCAGCCGACTCGCAGTGCTAGGACTCGCCTAAGGCCTATCGTACGTGTGCATAATATCAACGGTACCATCGAAGTGCGCACGCTAAAAAACGGTTAATTATAAGTTAGGTGCCTATACCTGTATAAATATATAGTATAACCCGCGAGGCCACAATTTTGCCACAACCTAATCACAGTCCAAACTATCATAATACATTGTAATATAATATTCTAACCACAGTAATTTATTGACGGCAGACTGTGGATACCTACGTACATTGGTATATTATCTTAAGCTTGTACACAGCGCCCGCTCCGTTGGATTCTCTCGACGGTGCCGCTGAACCGGTCCACCAGGCCACGACGCAGACCGAGCGGTGCGTATTTATTTATCTTCTGTTTTTTACTCCTCTTCAGCGTTGAACAGCGCGTTTCGTTTATAGCATATCGCCTCCGTTCGCCATTTCAAACGTAGGTATTAATGTTAGATGATTTATACATATCATCACAACCGAACATCGAGCCTATGATGTGTATGTAAAAATATAATAAAATATATTGTTATATAAAATAATATAGTTGTAATAAAAATAGGTATCACCTACATAGTATATACATATATTATATATTAAATCGTCACCGTTAAACCGACGCGCTTTTTATCAGTTTTATTTTAATTTATATATTTGTTTAACGCTGTGAAGAGACATTTATTATAAATGTCTGATGTAACAAAGACGACGATTCCGGTGCTGTTGCAAGTGACCACGGTCGAAGAAGAGCTGCAGCTCCTGAACGTGGAATCTGCGGACAGTGTTCGTCGATTGGAGGATGATAGTCTGACAGAGGTTGTGATTTCTGACAGTAATCTTGAACCTTACAGTAAGTAATAACTTTATTATTACCAAGGGGTTTAAAACGTTAAAATTGCAATTGTATGATATGCACTATGAAAAAGTACTGAAAGCAGCACACAAATATTATTTAAAACAGACATTTGTATACAATTATATTCAATTTAGTTGTATTAATAAGTACTATAATAGTAAACATTTTTGTAAAATATCCAATTTCGTCAAAATTTAAATATCAAAATAAATTATATAAAAAGATTGTGTATAGAAAATGATAATTTAACTATTAGTAGATTGCTTCAACTTTTTATAAATAATACTTTTTATGTATAACACAAAATATAAATCCAAACTGATTTAAAGTACTCAAGAATTCCCATTTTTTTTTCAGAAACATTATAAGTTGTAGATATTAAAATGAAATATTGGCATTTTGTAAAAATTATTCGCAGTGCACAAAATACAATTTTATTCGAAAACATATTTTTTAAAAGCTCAGGTGCTATACAATTTACATTTTATGTAGGTAGAACTTCGAAATCTGTAGGTACCTATACATGTTATTTTGTACTGTTGTTAAATACGGCAATTGTTTTTGTTACTACTTTTAAGATTAATTTTCATATAAATATATTATATTAAACCAACTCACTAATTGTTGATATAATAATATTTAATATAGAGCCATATAGAGGCTATACTGCTATAATAGATATTAATTATACAGTTATATAGTATTTTTCATAGCCCCATCATTTATTTATGATATAGGTATTTTTTAAATGTAGACCGTCACAGAACGCAATTTAAATTAAAAATAAACTTGAGGTTGGTATTAAAAAAATATATTATTAAAATGTATCAAAATTTAATAACTATGAAAAATTGAACCAAAATGTATTTCAATGTATTTATATCTATACTAATTACTGTAGTTATTCTAATTATACATATAAGAAATAAAATAAAGATTTAAAAAAAAAAATTATGGATTGTACACATACTTACCTAATATGTGTAAAGATAATTATTTACCTTGTATGGATAACAAACCAAATAATTTATATCCATGAGAACAGAAGGTTATATAGAAATTTAAAATAATGAACCAAGAGTAGACAATGTTCTCATTTTTTAAGAGGTCATCATATAATGTGTATACTGTTTTCTTAACATTTATTATTATAGTTTTAGTTATACAAATCACTACCTACCTAATTTACAAAAAAAAATGTAACACTTATTATTATATTACTCAATTTGTATAAAGTTCATGGGCAAATTCGGACATTTGGATATACCACTAATACCGGCCATACCCCCTCCACCCACTGAAATACTTAATATACATCTCTAATTAGAGACTATACGTTAGTAATAACTTATGTATAGCGAATAAAAATAATTTAGAGTAAGTTCTATGATAATATGTATTATCTATGCATACGTATACATACGTATACAATACGTATGCATTAAAATAATTAATGAAGTAATTGTGATCTCATCATGCAAAGAGATTATGTTTTTTAAGTGGTAAATTTTACGAAAAATGCTCTTCATAGTAGATGAATTAATATTTACTACATGCACCCATGATTAGTTTTACATTAACTTATTATAATATTTACTAATAAATAAGTCATGGTGAGCGCAGTGGCTGACCGCAAGCAGCAGTTAACCTATAAGATTGCTGAAGCTACGATGCGCCCAGCGTCGCTAGCTCCCGGATGGGTGAGCTCCCGAATTTTTAGAGACAAAACATGGCACACATACACAATATCACGTGTTACAACCCGACCAACTCCCAAAAACCTACTAAAAATATATACTAAAATAACCCCCCACCATACCACCCCATACCCAATGATCTATGTTGCCACGAGTTCCCCTGATAAAAAAATTAAAAATTAAATAAGTCAATAAGTGTAAGTTCAGTGCGATAAAGAATTATGATTGGTGACCCGTTGAAGAGGTAACTAAAATCGTTATTTTTCGTTGAAATATTTAATAGTAAACAAAAAATTTGAACTCCAATAGCTCATATAAAATTTATTTGACTACGTTAAACATTATTTTTAAATTCCAATAAAAAAAACTTATGGGGAACCTTGTATTCAATTTCCAAGGTTCCTATTCAAAATGTAACAAGTGATTTTTATGAATTTTGTGACAGTTTGAACTGTGCACTTTTGATATTTTTTAATTACAGTCCTTAAAAAAGTTATGAGGAATCTTAAATTATATATTCAAGTTTTTACTCATTAACACAAATTTGATCACGTGTGAATCGAAAATAAACTAAAAAAGTCGATAAATAGCACAAACAGAGTCAAAATATTTTAAAATTTATATCATGTTTAGTTAATGCTAATATGTAAATATTTGGTGAAAGTTTCAAATCTAAAATTATTCAATTTTAAATTAAAATAAAGAAAAACAAAATTAATTTTGTCAAAAACTGGTTTAACTTAAAAATCCAATTTTTTTTTCTTTTCATATAAAAACTTTACAATTTATACATACAAAAAATAGTTTATTAAGCATAGTCAATGTTTTACTTAATTACAATGTGAAGGCTTGTGTGGCTTCATGGAAAAACCAACTAATGAAGACATTTTTGTTTTATTTTACTTCGGACCTACAAAGTAGGCGACAACTACAAGATCCGATTCGCTACTAGAAATGCCTTAAATTGCTAACAGCATAACGCGTTATAAGTTTTTGTACGTTGACATAAACTGATAGTCCACTAATATACAGTAACATAACAGGAGGACATATATTGCAGGTTCAAAAAGGTTTATACTTATAAATAACTGTATTTTGAATAATTTTCATTTTGTGTTGATATTTTTTCAATTTTTTTTTTAAATAAAAGTTATGCACCAACGGTTTATAAAAAAAGGTAATTTGTGTAACAGTAGCAGTGACGAGTAAACATTAAATAATATTATACGTAGTCCTGCATTCTTACGCTCAAATCATTTTCGAGCATCGAGCTTGAAGATCTGTTCCATAGTACGAAAAATAAAAACACTTCATTTTGAAATCTATACAAGTATTACAATTTTAAATGCCTGTACTGGTTAAAACTCCGAACACAAAACAATAAGTACCTACACATTTATATTGTACAATATAATTATATATTATGTAGATAATAAAAAAAAAATATATAATATTAAAGTTCAAATAATTTATATTATTAAAAGAGTGAATGCTGAGGTCTATTAATAATATAATTATTGTTATTTACTATACAATTTCTATGTCATACCTTCTATACTCCTATACCTAGTAAGCCTTCTGTTAAATATAATGTAAGTATTTAGTATCTCAGTATGACTGCAGTTTAGACACAACGGTATACGACTACAATCAGCTGATGGTAATGTGACTGTATATTTTTCATATAGGGTTACTTCTTACTTTCTATCACCTATATTTATAAATAATTAATAAATGTATGAGATACATTTTTTACAAAAGTTAGACCTATACAGTAATTCATTGAACGTACTTATCAAGCCAGACTATTTAAACAAAAATTGATGTTTTCGTGGGTTATTGTTATTTTTACAATTTTTACAATTTTTATTACTTTATTATTATTCAACTTACAGTACGACGTATAATATGAATAAATATGATCTATTCGTTGTTTGTTACTTTTTTAATATTTTTAATTATGTGATTTTTTTTTATGATAATTTAAAATTGAATAACTCTAAAATCAAGCATGAAGCACTTATTTTAGATAGTAAAAAAGCTTAAGAGTTTTGTGAGGCATTAATTGCGTTAAATAAAATTAGCATTGTCATTATTTCGACACTTCTTAACACTACATTTCTTGCATTATCATTTATATAGTGTTTAATAGCATCTTTCTATAGATTGGAAATTTATTGTACTTTCGATAAGCATGAATATTATAACGTAAGTTTCGGATACCCATCTATGACAATTGTTGTATATTTTATTTGTAAACAATTGATGACGTTATGAAGTAGGTATACTATTTATTATGATCTTCAATTATAAAATATGTTGGATCATGGGTGTTCTATTTTAATGATAATGCATGAGTATTTGTGCGTTGTTAAAAATAAGTTATTTTAGTGTATGTGTAGATGCATATCACGGTAAAATACGGGGAAGTCTAGCACACGTCATGTAATAAATAATAATACTAATGTACTAACATAACCGGTAATAGCAGATGGAATATTGCCTATATTAAACTCCCCAAATATGGCACTTAATTCAATCTGCAATTTCTCAATAATTGTCTGTTGTTTTGTATTTTTTAATCACGAATCACGGTGAAATATTATATACATATTTAAGATCTTAAATATTCTTACTAATTCACTATTATTTATGTAATAATATAATTATTTTTTCATTGCATATGCAATCACAATTATTGATTTAAGTATTTACTATTTAACTATGTACGTATAAAGCATACATAAAATAATACAACATATATACCACCAAACAACATAAGTTGTACATTTAAAATTAAAAAAGTGATCGATCAACAGCAATTTGAATCTTTAAATATAATTGACCTTCAATAGTAGATAATGTAAGTTTGCAATTATTTACAATATTTTTTTGTACACCTATAATATTAGACTCGTTGCAGACAACTAAACATGTATTTGGTGTCTTATTATTAAATGGTAAAATTGCCCTTGAATCTTTACGTAAACATAGGATTCTAAGTCATTTGCGCGCATGCTCCAAGGCAAACGGTGACCCGTAAGTGAATAGTGGGATCAGCCGGTTTTCATTCTTTGCATTTTACTAGGTATATCCTGTTTATTATTTGAGTAAAAACTTCTACTACCAAAGTACACATAAAACTGTTCAATTCGACTTCAGATTTCTTACGTACTTTATACATATTATGAACTCTTTAAAATTGAACGCATTCGTGTACTTATAGTGTTTTTACATTAATTATTTTTTCTAGGTATTGTGTCTAATAAATTCACTCACGAATACCCTCTGTCTGCACCAACGAATAATTCCATACCTGGTATGTATATTTTATTGTTTATATAATAGAAAATAAACTTTAGTGTTTTATTAGTTTTATGATATCTTAAATAGGTACATATTTAAATATAATTGAATTATGTACGTATAATCTCAAATTCTCAACATAGTTTTTTACTTAAGTAATTATTTAGTCAATTCTATTATAGCTTATTAGAATACTTAATTTTATATCTACTGATCTATTATTTCATCTTGATAGTTAAGGTAAAAAATATGTTTACCTAAAGTAAGGATACACACCACATACAAGAATTAAACGTTTCTGTTTTTAGGATATTTTAGTAATAATTTGCTGTATACTTTATATTATGTGTGGGTACGTAATTAATTAATTTAACTATTACATTGATTTGGACCTCATTGGTACGTGTATTTTTTATTTAAGCTCTATATCATTAGTTGAAAATGATCTGATTATACATTTATATCATAATACTATTATAATATATCACCTCGAAATATTGATTTAAAATTATCATGGTTATTCTGAGTTAATTTGAAAAGTTCAATACAAATACACAATACACGTTATATTGTATACATACAAATTAAATTCTGATCCTGAATTTCTGATTTTTGAATTCAAATAATATGCATATTCTACAAAGGGCACAATGATTGAATTATGTGTTATAATTTCTGTTATAATACATCATGGATATTGTTCTTTTTCTTTTATTGTGTTTCAGTAAACAACTCTTGCAGCTAGACAATTACATAATAATTGTTCTTTTGAATTAATTATTTTTGTACATAATACTTCCGAAATTCTTGTGAAGTGGTTTATAAAAAAGCACCTCTTGAAATGTGTTCACATTATACCTATACAGGAATCACACCAAGTAACCTAGATAACCATGTCAATGATTTCTTCTTTTTTTCGTTTGTAAATTATAAGCAAATTATGGCCTTCGTGTCGACCGGGGAAGGAAATCTAGTTATAATGAGATGCTCTTACGAAAAAGTATAAATACGAGTTATAGAAAAAATTGTTAAATTTATCTTAAGTATTTTAATAGTGCAATAACATATCATATAATATTTTATTTTTATTTTATTCTTCAAGAAGATAATGGGCCTCACTGAACATGTTCGTGTGGGGGCCCAAGAGTTCACAATTTGAAATATGATTGCGTTAAATAGTTCTTATAAATTAAATACTTACAATAGGTAAGTAATATAATATGAAGATTGAAGGTGGCCTTCCACTTAATATACTATGTATTATGTAACGAATATAATGCAGTAAATACTAAATACCCATAGGCGCGAATAGTCCAATTTTTTTTAGATGACGTCAAATGATATATGCTTAGTACTAAGTAGTTACTTTTGAATTGGGGGGACTTGGCTAAACCCCCCCCCCCATATTTGCTCCAATGTCAATACCCAAGTCTTTAGTTTTCGATATTGTATATATTTTATAGTGGGTGGCAAATGGCAATTTATTAGGTACCTTTATGCATTAGCATTAAGTATGCTTAGTATAACTATTCTTATGATTCATTTTCATCCGCAATATTTATGTTCATTATATTTATAGTTGTAAAATTATTTAATTGATAAACTATTGCAATTTAAATAATTGATTTAGTTTAGATGATTATGTTTCGAAAAAGTTTTGCTACAGAATAGAAAATAAAAAATTGTACCTTATGAGTTAAGAATTTAAAAATCGATCAAAAATAAAAAGCAGCCAAGCAGACAAAATATAAACATCTTGTGATTGCTCACTGATATAACACTATACATTGTTAATTTGAAAACAATAATAATTGATAAATCATCACATTTTCAATCAGTGAATAAGCACATGTTGACATTTCACGAACTATGATTGCTTTTAAACTGCATATCTTCAAAAATGTTTGGCAATTGTCTGTTGTCAGTAGTTTTTCATTACATTTGCATACAATTTTAAAGCATGACCTTAATAATATCCAGGATCAATTTCTGATGCTTAAAGGGGTTTGATTAAGCTTGTCTAGCAAACATTTCAAATTTCTTCTCGACATTTTAAATGGCAATACGAAATACAGTTTATGTACCTACAATATATTACTCGTCGTCGTATAAGTAATATTGTTATTTGTTAGTACCTTGCTATAAATAACATATATAATATATATATATAAAAAAAATATTATAAATCACTTTTTTTAAACTTCGAAGTTCAAACTCATTATAATGAATAATATAGTCATGATAAATTATACATAATTCATAGTATAATTAATTATGTATACACTCAGTGACACAAACACAATGCCAAAACACAGGATAGACACGCCAATAAACCTCTTATCAAATAAATGGTTTAAAACAAAAATTATGAATTATAATCCAACCACGTTTTAAGCAATGTTAATAAAATTAATTATCCTATTTAAGGACTATCACAACAAAACAAAATTATAGAATACAAACATACAATTGAAGATTTTTTCCTACTTATTTGTTAGTATAATATAAATATTAAATTAATAATATTGTAAAATACTAAAATAGCCCACAGACTATGTGAAAATAAATAAACAAAAATTTTAATATAGTCTGTGTGTAAATGGTGGTATTTGAGTGTTCCTTCGTGCCATCTTCCCTACGAGGATTTTAGGGGTACTTGACTTTTCTCCATGAATCAATAAAAACAATTTTATACACATAATAATAGATTGGAAAATAGTTTTTTTAGTTTTACCCTAAATTATTTAATGAAAAATCTCGTAAACAGTACCTACATTTTTTTTTTAATTTGTGCATTGTTTAAAATACACTAATATAATTTTGTATTGGCAATAGTGTTTTTATTACGTAATATTGAATTATATTGTTGTATTGATATTTATTATTTATTTAATCATACTATTAATTTAATCATTTTTAGATTTATTGATTTGAATTGCATATTACCTATTGTTTAATATTTTTACTCTTAATTTTTTGTTCAGGAAGATTGTCTGGAAAACTATACAAAGTGCATTGAAATCCCAACCCTAATAATAACGAATTCAAATTTTTCCGATTTCGGTTTTGATTTTAATTTAATACCGGTTTCTAATGTTTTCCGTTTTCTGAAAACGGTTTTGAAACCAGTTTCAAACCCTGTGAGGGGAGGGCGTCCTAGATTTGTGAATGGCTATATATATCATATAATTACATAAATACGAAAACATATAAAAAAGATACAGTGGCAATTATTTTGAACAGCGATAGAACAAAAAGTACCTTTCCTGCAGCAATCACTTTAAATTGGCTCCATTTTCAATATTTAAATAGGTATTAATAAATATTTACAATCTGCTTAATAACAATAGGTACCTACAATAAATAATAATATATACATAAAAAAGGGATATATCTGACTTGACTACTTGATTGAAGTTGCCGAATGACGCTACTTCTAGATGACTGGACATTATATTAGCCTTCTTTTTTTCTTCTTTTTAATTTGTTTATAAGGTCACCCCCAACTACCAACATTATGTCATCCCTCATGGTTAACTGGTATGCAGCGTAAGTGAAATCATATTAGCATCACGATCGTTATATTAATCGTTATATAGTAAATTGTGCGGCAAGGGCGGGGAGAGAGCTATTTCGGTGACGTACAACTTGTGCGGCACGAGCCCCTGTCGAGGGGGGAGGGTCCCATTTCCCCAGTTAAGTAATAGGCATGATCTGATAGGCCTGGGGAAAATAGAATCTAGTGGCCCACATGATCATATCCAACAAAATAATTACCTCAACATTGGTCATTAAGAGAACCAACCTAGCAACCCCCACCTCTTTTTTGACAAAAATAAATATAAATTTAATATTACACTATTACATCTACATTTATTATTTTACTATATTATTATATTGTTTTACCATACCGTCCATACCATTTTACTATATCCAAATAGATTGGTACGTAATATTACATATTATAGGCACAGTGACAACAGAAGGCCAAAAACAAAATTCCGAAGTGACAAGTTGGAAACATTTTATTGTAATGTCTTTGTTCGACTATAATAATTATTATTTACATTTATTTTTATTGGTTGATGACAGCTGCAGCTCTCGCCTGCGGGTTGATAAGCACAAAAATAAAACCTAAATTCCAAGATAAACTTCAGTGAAGGTGGTCAGGCTGAACCGTGGCACAAAGACCACGGAAAAAGAGCCCAGAAAAAAAATTAAATATAAATGTGAAAACATGTATACTCTACAATTACCGTGTGACGTGTACCTATAGCAAAATATAATATATTTTAATGAAAATAATCTCATAAATTATTATCATGTGTAAGTTATATACAAGGTTTAATAGATAGCTCTGACCAAATAATAAAAAAGATGCTACCTTAATGTAAGATAAATTTTTTTAACATTGTGTAAGTAAAAAAATTAAGGAATAAACTCATATCAGCAAATTTTTTAAAATTATATTTTGAAAAAAGTTATTACGTTCCAAATGAATTAAATCAAAAAAATATTGATATTTTAAAAAATTCTAAAAAATAATCTTCTCGACTTAGATAAAAGTTTTTACCATCAAAATTCTTCTTATAATCGTATTCACAAATTGGCTATTTTGAACTTATCCAAAAAAATGTACTTAAATTTCAAATTTTCAGTATGAAAAAATAAAAATAATTATTTTATTTATATTATTCATTCAGCGCAAGTGACTATTAATAAAATTATACATAAAAAAGAAATTCAAAATATGGATTATAACAAAATGTATTGCATTAGTAAGTTCTTCCTGTTACACCCTGCATAAACCTAAAATGTTATACTTATACACCTAATGTTTTTAGATTCTGGGGGGAGCGATGAATGTATTGATTTTACAATGATGTGTGTCTTTATATTTTTTTTTTTTGTGTCTGTCACCACGGTTTCTTGCAGTAAAAGTGCTTCGATTTTCTTCAACAGCAACTTTTCTGGTAAGAAAGTGAAACCAGTTGGTGCATTCGGGAGTCAAAATTTTAAATTCATAATAGTTTTAAAAATCAACAGGAAAAACAAACAAAAAATTAAGGAAAAACGGGAATTTTCGAAAAAATCGATTTTGGTTTTTAGTGTAACTCTAACAAAAATGACTGAAAAGAAACATAAAATTTTCACTGAATATTTATTTTAGCATTTTCTATACACAGTACAATTTTCATAATATTTCGATTTGTGTTGAACTATTTATAGGCATATGAAATTTTCGATTATTATTTGTTTTTTTTTTTTTAACTAAAGTCGATGAAAACAATTTCAAAAAACTTGTAAATGTAATACAAGGTACAGTGTAAGTTGTTATGAATGGAAATTAAAAAAAAGTTGAGGGTAAATTCAGAATAATTTTTATGAACGATAAAATATGTAATGGCTATAAGTGTATGTCCTTTAATTCCGAAGACAATTTTTATAGCAGAATAATGCTTCGATCTTAAATATTGATGGTGGTCTCTTGTAGAAAATTGTATTTAGTTTCTATCTAAAAGGGCAAAATTTGTGTGTTTATTTATTTATTTTTTTGTCTGTCATCAACTTTTATAACAGTAAAAATGCTTCGATTTGGAACGTGATTTCTGACATTAAATTGGATCTAGTTGGGGAATCAAACGTATAAAATGTCCAGTAGTATTTTAAAAATAATCAGGAAAAACAAAAATAAAACTATAGGTATTATTATATACAGGCACTACAGCCAATACAGGCACATATATGGCAATACCTACTGTATTGACGATTAGGTATCATATAAAACCATTATTATATCGTATAATCACACTTAGGTGTTGTGAAGCCTTAAAACCTGTAATGGAGTTAGATCATAACTCATGTAATATATATCCAATGATGCTGATGAATGCTGATTGGTCACATTAATACACTATAATATATTTTAATTTATAGGTATCTAATAACATGGTTTAGGTTTACATTCAGTTATTGTTACTGTAGTACTGTAGTAGTGTATAGCGTGAGCCTGCGACGGTGGTACCACGCTGCTTAATGCAATAAGAACTAGGCTAACTAGGGAGTGATGCACATTAATGATACCAAATCTGAAATCACAATATTTATTTATTAATTAAATAAGTAATAAGTGCACATGCAAGCAGTGGGGTGGCCAGAGGTGTTTTGGGTGTTAAAACAACCCAGCCCTGGCCACCCTAATCAATTGTATTTATTCAAAAAATATAATCGTTACAATATGCTTCAGCCAGATGTCTACAAAACATGTTGTCATAATATATTTCATATTATATTGATATAAAGATTAATGACTATAATAGAGTGTATCAAGCCCCCCATAAGTTAAATTTAAAAAGGTATAAAATTACAACAACTTCCTAAACAAAATCCTGGCTACCGGGCCCGTAGCCACGGGTGGCAATTGGAGGGGGCGTTGCTCTCAACAAGTATTAAATGTGCTTATGACTGTGTAGTGGTTTTTTTCTAATATTCCCCCTAAAATTTGATTTTCCCCACCTATCTGATAATTTGGTCGGACTACTGGCCTGCTGGCTACACGCTTGTTTAGACTTGTAGAGTGTACAAGTGTAGAGATTATATTGTTTTAAATATTATAGACTAGGTATAATATTATAGCTGTTAGGAGTTAGGACATATTATTACAACACTATAATAGTATAATGTAGCCATGTAAGACACCTATTATGTAATTCATAACATATTTCCCCATATTAAAAGAAAAATGGTTAGTTCTAATTAGAAAAAATCTGTATTTCTGCGGGACAATACATAATTATGGTATTAAAAATCTAAATTGTTGAAAATATGGTCCTTATACTCCTTAAGTATAGGTACCAATGTTGATTGATAAATCCACCTAGATATGTTGGTAGGTTTTTCAAAATTAAAAACTGAATTTGATTAAATTAATTGTTAAAGAGAAAAATGTGAGTGAGTATGCTTGGTGAATCACTCTGTATACTATCTACTACTAATAACAATAGTAAGTTAATTGGACTTTAAAAAATATTTAGTTATATTATGATCTACCGGCATTGAATTCGCAGTATCAAACACGACATTGGCTCGCATGTAGCTGATATGCACACAACACACAACACACACACATATGACATATATATTATAAAATACATTTTGTTTAACATTCACTTTATTGACGGTTTCAAACCATTTCTTCGTCGTGTCACTTCGCGGTATAATATAATTTATAATAATTCGTTGCTATAGTTTGTTGCGGTCGTCCTCGATCGCCTAACATTTATTTTGGTACTTTAGGTAGGTATCTATTGGGCATTGGCTATTTGTTACCTAAAATATGCTTACACATTTTAAGCAACACACAATTAAGTATTATTTAGTAATTAAGTATTATGATTATAAACTGGCCGTTAATAATCTCTTTATCGCCTCCTTTGCACACATTGTACGTCTAGACTTCTAGAATCTAGAGTAGTAAAGTCTACTAGTCTAGACTACATTACTACTTAGTTCTCGAGTAGTCGTGTGCAGGCGTGCAACTCACTGCCCAGTAGTGCCCACTGTCCGTGCCATATCGCTGATATACGAATCCGATTAACATTAACCTAATATCATTATCGTTTATTCGTTTAAACTGATACGGTGTACCGTGTAAGTATATTGTAATTTATTACATTTTTAATTTTGAACCCAGTTTCCACAATGGTACAATCATGAATCTTTGTATTCCGAATTCCGATGTATCTGTGATGTCATCAATGGTTGTGTTTTTTGAAATCCGAAAATTTCTGATGGAATCTAAGATTCAAATCGTCTCCGACTATATTTAATAATAGTCTTTAAGGTAGAAAACAGATAACCCACCGTGACATGTATTGAGTTCAAATTTAGGTAACGTGTTACCTACACTTCGTTACCTATTCCTATGTATTGATAAACCAAACACAACACACGAGTATACAAGTACACAGCATGTACACAAACTGTGTAACTGTATAGGTAGTAACAGGCAACAGAGACATAACGCAATAAACAAAAACGAAAATCACTTTCTATTTCGTCGATCCATAAAGGAATGATCCATTATATTTTATAATATATATCTAGCCAACGCGAATGTGTTAGATATATAATCTCAATCTTATCGCGAAATAAATGTAGGATTATAATTTGTAAAAAGTAATAACTTACTCCAAATCTAAAAAAAAATATTTCTTTCCTCCACTGAATAGCTTGGTAAAATATAATATAATAGACCTGTAGAATGTAGATATGTAATCATGTAGAATGTAGATACTACATTGATAGTGACAGTGTTAGCTGCAACATTTATTATGTACTTATTTAAAATGGAAATCACTATTGTTAAATCTCATTGTCCTTGTTGTGTTCATAATTTTAAATGCTAATACTATTGTAATTTTATGGATTTTTACAGGTACAGAAACTAACGAAATTATGGCCAACTATGCAGATGTATGTATTTTTTATTTTATTTTTTTAAAACTATTTTGTTGAATTCAATGGTCAAACTAACAAAAATATCAATTTTTATTTAGATTGTAGAGAAAGCTAGAACAGCTTTCAACAGTAACCAAACAAAATCGTTACATCTCAGAAAACATCACCTTAGGCAACTTCTCAAGCTTTTAAATGATAATTCCTCAGATTTACAAATAGCCCTAGCTTCTGATCTAAGAAAAGTAATTTAAATTACTGTTAATTAATATGATGTATAAAAAAAAAACTTAACTCTGAATTATTATTTGAACAGAGCAAGCAAGAAGCAGTATTGTTTGAAATTGAATATTTAAAAAATGATATCATCAATGCTCTAGGGTCACTAGAGTCCTGGATGAAAACAGAAAGGGTGCGTACAATACTAAAATGTCAACAGTAACTATTTTTTTAAAGAAATGTTAACATTTATAATATATTTTGTTTAGCCTGATAAACCATTGATTAATATAATGGATGATGTATTAATACATAAAGATCCATACGGAGTTGTATTAGTAATGGGAGCTTGGAATTATCCATTACAGCTAACTTTGTTACCCGTAGTTGGTGCAATAGCTGCTGGGAATAGTGTTGTTATTAAGCCTTCTGAAATAGCTCCAGCTACTGCAAAACTCATTGCGGAACTAGTACCAAAATATCTCAACAGAGTAAAGCACATTCATTTTTTACTTATCCAATTATTCTTACATTTTAATATTTTACAGGATGCTTTTCCAGTTATTTTAGGAGGTGTGGAAGAAACAACTCAGTTACTTAAACAAAGATTTGATTATATTTTCTATACAGGATCAACATCTGTAGGGAAAATAGTTAGAGCTGCTGCAAATGAATACTTGACACCTGTTACGTTAGAATTAGGCGGTAAAAGGTATATTAATATTTTATTACTCTATATATTAATTTTATGGTAGTGTATTGATCATAACATTGTATAATTTCATATTACAGCCCCTTATATATAGATGGAACTGTGAATATGGATATTGCTGTTAAGCGTATAATTTGGGGAAAATGCATTAATGCTGGACAAACGTGTATAGCGCCAGACTATGTTTTGTGTACACGTCAAGTTCAAAATACATTTGTGGAGAAAGCTAAACAACTATTAAAAGCCTGGTATACTGACGATCCAAAAAATTCTCCAGATTTGTGCAGAATAGTTTCTGAAAAACATTTCGTGTGAGTATATTTGAATTGTACTTATAAAAATATTTTTGAAAATATAAAATTTATTTTTACCTATAGGAGATTATTAGACTTGATGACTAACAGCGGATCAATTGCAGTTGGTGGTAGACACGATAAAAAAGATCTGTATATTGAACCAACAATATTGACTGATGTGAAACATACAGATCCCATAATGAAAGAAGAAATTTTTGGTCCAATTTTACCGATTCTAACTGTAGATAATGCTTATGATGCTATAAATTATATTAACAGCAGGTAAAAATAATATTATTTTAATTAGGTATTTAATTTAAAAATGTTTAACTCTAATTTATTTATTAAAAGTTCATTAGTTTGTTAGATTATTACACACAAACATTTTAGACTTCAGTCTGATGTAAAATTTCATAAAATCAAACCAAACAATTTCACGTTGTACCTAATAATATATAAGAATAGAAAATCCAGGTACCTACCTTCCTACTTTGTATTTTATTCAACTTTGAAGTCTTAATAATCAGACATATCGTCAATAAATATTTTACTCGGAGTTCTTTAAAAATATATACATTTATTAGGTTTCTATTTTAACACCCTATTAAGTATTTTAATCAATGTTATTACAGAATACAAGTTAACGCCAAGTATTAACTATCATCCTTTTTATGATTTTTTTGTATGATTTTAATATTTAATTAGTTAGCATGATTTTTTAAAATCACTATGTATATCCAAAAAGTGATGTTTCTTTATTCATTTTGTGAAGGACTTTATAATTGAAATAATAGATGATACATTTTAGAATTAAAAAACATATTAAATGTTCATCTATAATTTTTAAGTTTATAGGTTTATCCCATAATTAGTCTTAAATTAAAATCAAAACATAAGTCAGTCATTTTTTTTATTTTTTTTATTTAGAAATTATGAATTATTAAAATGGATTGTATTTGAATTTTTTTTGCATAGAATACTGATGGCAGATGACTAAATGTTACATCAATACATAATTTTAATAAATATTTATGTTTTATCCTTCAGGAGTAAACCATTAACGTTATATGTATTCTCTTCCGACCAAGAAATGCAGAATTTATTTATGAGACAAACTTCTAGTGGATCATTTTGTGTAAATGACACCGTTAGTCATTATGCCGGTAATAATCAACAGTAGCCAGAAAATCTCATGTTTTTTTCTAACAGCAACAATTCCTTTTTACTATCTATTCTTAAATTGTTCTTTTTATAATATTGCTTGTGTACATAGAATTATGGTTTTTAATTCTGGTTGTTCTGTATCTAAATAATCATATTATAATAATTGGTGAATTCACAAGTTAGTCATAGATATTCAGTCTATGCTATAATAATACCATTAACAATTTTAACTTGCCATTGTATTATATAGTACAATATAATAATATTTAGTAGCTTGGTGAGGTGCGTTTATACACTTAATCTCTGCGACAACGCTCTGAGGGTATGTACTGGAAGTCTTTGCTAGCACTCGGATGGGTGACCCACTGGGTTTTTAGCAACACATCTTTGCCACAAATACAAATATGTGTTTCAAATCAACCGTTTCCCCGACAATCAACTAATGGCCATATTTCAGGCTTTAGATTAATAAAAATAATATTTTATTCCTATTATGTGGCGTATGTTACTTTAATGACAACAAATACAATAGAATCTCCATAGATTTAAATTACATTGTCTCAAAATAATATTTTCGTTTTTGTACTAACATTTTTGATACTGAAATATAACTAAATGACATATATGGTGATGGTAATTACTAAATTTGTACAGAAATCACAGCCCATTAGCTTTATACATATTTACCAAAAATAAAGCGGTCGTTGACAACATGTTGGAAAACGTGAAAGCTGGTGGAGTTTGTGTCAATGATACTGTAGTACATGTGACTGGTAAGTAATTAATTTATGTGTGTGCTGTAGTATGTGTTCACGTCTTAATGCAGTTGAATATATGTGTATTATTGAGTTTATTCAAAATAGGATAAATTTATAAATTTATTATTTATTAAAAATTTCATAGTTGAATTACTATAATGTAATTATTTATTTTTATTAACAAAGCTGTTAAGGTAGTATAGATTTATTTTCGCTGCCTGTTTCATTTGTGCTACAGATTCATTTCTTAACATTTTCAAAACTGTAAGTTTATAATTTTTTATTCAAACATGGAATCAAATAGTTTCTTTTTAATTTTATTAAGAAAAATAATAAAAATGTATTGGATGGTTGCTTAAAATTTGAAAATATATTTTCTCTAAATACATATAATCTATATATATTTTTTAAAATCAAATTTATTGTAGTTACATGCTCCAAGAGGATAAATAATTACTGTTTTGGAAGTGCACTCTGGTTGGGTTGGGTGTGAGACGTGAGTTAGGCATGAAAATGAATCTACTCCTATGACCTTGATCATTATTTGTCAACTTAAAACAAGATTTAGATTTAATACTAATTATATATTGATATTTGATATATGCTTTCTCTGATTATAGATTTTATTTTCCTAATAATGAATTTATACTATTTATATTTTGTCCACAGGTTTTGTATTTTAGTTTTTCAATCACCATAAAAGAATATAGTTATAGCTCATAGTTAAAAATGGTTTGGTATATATATCACTGTGTGTTTGGGTAATATACGCTGCTTATTACTCATAATAGTGCAATACTCACATAGTTACATAAAAACTAACAAGCTTTTTTAAGTAAGAAATAGATATATTATTTCTTGTACACAGCAAATATCATACTCCTATTTAATTTAAAATTGCTTTTGTGTCTTTTAATAATCTTATTTTATTGAAATATTTATTTTATTTAAACAATGATGGCCTGTAAAAAAAATTCCTTTTGTTTATGTTGTACTAATCTATTAGAAAAATAATATGTTATTATTGATAACATAATAAATACTAATGTGTACAAAATTTTTTAGTTGAAAATCTACCATTTGGAGGAGTTGGTCTTAGTGGAATGGGAGCTTACCATGGAAAACATACATTTGATACATTCACGCATCGAAAAAGCTGTTTGGTCAAAGATTTTAACATCATAGGAGAATCATTTTCTTCGTTAGTAGTACATCATATTATTGTTTTAATTTTTCAATGTTATTAATCTTAACAAATGTTCACATTATAGAGCAAAATATCCACCATACTCTGACAAGAAACTAAGCATGGTGTCTTTTTTGATGAAGAAAAAACCAAGCATTAATTTCAAATTTCTGCCATATTTGTTTGTATTTGGTCTTGGGGTTTGTGCAACCTTTGCATTCAAGTATTTAAATAAGGTACATTCAAGGTCTAATTTTCGCTTTTAATTGAATCACATCACAAAGTTCATATTATAACATAACATTTATTACCTCTATCAAGAGTTGTAACAACAAAAATAACACTACACATTAAAAAAATACCCATACATGTTTTTATATTTTCTGAAGAACTTATACTTTTCCATAATCTATTGTTTTTTTTTTTTTTTTACAGATGTAATAATAGTATTTTTATATTTTCATTAATTTATGTTATTTTTTTTTAACAGAGAAAGTTAATAGTTAATATTGAAATAACTTTTAATACATATTATATTTTATTTATTACTGTTATTTAACTATTCCTTTTATGTTAAATATTTATTTACTTCTTTGGTGTAACTCCTAGTAATACATTTCTAGTAAAAATATCAGATATTTTTAAGACAAATTATATTATTAGAAATGGTTTTACACAATTTCAGTTCTTTTTATTGCTTAACTGTCTTGTACTTTTTATGTACATTGAATTCATTTGCTATTGTTATTTAAAGTAATCGGAAAAAAATTCAAATTTTTCCATTGTTTATTTTATTTATAAAATAAACTGGGCTTACAAATCTTATCTTGACACAAGTTGGATTATGGACCGACAGAGCTAGAATGTTAATAGCTAAAAACTAGTTGGGACTATAGGATAGATTCATTGCAAGAAAATCTAGTAGAAAAATGGAAAATTGATTGAATGGAGGCAAACTAGATACTCCTAACTTTTTAACAGTAAATTGTCAAAACATGTCTTTTAAAAATGTTATTGATATTTATTTTATTTTTAGTGTTTCAATATTGTAACACAAAATGAATAATCAATCAAATTTTTTCGGGGGAAATTTTTCCGAGTGCATTTTTTATCGAGTCTTTTTTGGGCATGTCTTATTACTAAACTACATCATTTCTGGTCTTGGTTGGTTTATGGTGTTTATTTAATATTATGGAGTAACTGGAAAGTAATTGGATAATCTAGTTGGAATTCCAGATAACTGTATTATTTGATTAAATGTTTTGGTAATTTTATAATGCAATGTGCATATTTATGTTTTTTTTAAGACATATTAATCATTTTACTTAATCAAAAACTGTAATTTCAAAATTGTTAATAGTTTTCATTAGAAATAATTTTTTCTATGAATTATTTATGTGTATTTATTTTATACAATTTAGATACTGTGTTTAGTAATCGGTATAAGTCAGTTGTTTAATTATTACAATGTTTAACCTTTTCTAAAAACTATTTTATTTTATTAAAATTTTTTGTCAAGTTGTCTGTAGTTAAAATAATTCAAAGTGGACATTTATCTTTAGGAAAATTTAAAAAATAAATTATCTAATTTTAACCATTAACAAAAACATAGTACTTCATTATATTGTATAAAATAAGTAACTATTAAACTATAACTATGAACTCCAACATGTTTAGTGAGACCTGTTACGTTCTTGAAGAATAAATAAGTGACTAAAATTTAAGCTGTATATCCTCACTAATTCAAAAGTTATTTCAATGTAAAATGTTCAGAGCTTCTTCATAGTAATAATTGGCTATTAAGTAGAAACCGTAGATGTATAAAAAATAATTTATGTATTTGTGGTTGAACTATACTGGTCTACACTCCACGAGTTTACATTAAATTACAGTTGACAATTACAATAGTTTCTGGGAATATGTTGATTATGAATTTGTTATTGTGTCTGTTTTTATAGGATTATTAACCTAACAATTAAGTAATTATTAGGTATAAGGAATATATTATTTTTAAACTATAGTGGAAGTGAAAATGTGGTTAAATCAATGAAAAACAAAAATAAACGTTATAACAAGGGTGGGCCAATATTTGATATCGGATTTTTTTTAAACTGGTACCAAAATAAAAAACCCCAATCAATCAGCATAAAATAGCAGATTAACATCACAGATTTATTGTTGAGGCTGATGGCAGTAGTATAATAGCTTTGGTGGTTTTAAGGTATTAATTATCTTTTAATATCAGTTTATGGTGTTTCATGTTTTTTATTGTTGTATGGTTCATGGTTTATGCCGAAAATGTTGTTTTTAAAATATATCGATTATCAGAGTATCATATATCGGTAAAAAGTGGTATTAGCCCATCTCTACTTATGACCCTGGTTATAATTTCAAAATATAAAAAGTTAGGGTTCTATGTTAAATATGTAGGTACCTATTCTTTTACTATCTAAATACCTAGTACATAATGCCAACCTCTTAAAATATTTTGATTTCAGTCTTTACTCAATACTCCTTTCTAAATTTTAACTTTATAATTATTATTGTGAAGCGCTAAGGATTCTCAACAAAATTATTTCCTTGGCCAGCCGTGTCCCCACATTTAATAGTTTATTTCATACCGCAATAACCAAATATTCTTTGAAGTTTGATTTTGTCAAAAATGATTTTCACTCTTGTTCTCATGTCCTTAACGCAAAACACTTAGCAGCTCGACAAAAATCGCTTTTTCTTTGTATCCCTTGTTCTCTTGTTGGACTGAGTAAACCTTATAGTTGGTGCTTGGATATCCATGACTTTATTATTTTTTATTTCTTCTTACCATTTTAAGAGATTGCTACACCAGCATTGTCTGTCTCACAAATGTTAAATGTATAGCTTTTTTGTAGCAAATAGTGAATAGGCCTGTGATCAAATTTAAAGGTAAGGATATTATCTAGAGCCTCTTGTTTGCTTCTATTGATATTTTAATTTTAAAGTCATTCATCACTCATAACTTAAAGCTATATAAATAAAATACTATAATTTTCAAATTCTCAGAACTCGCTTTAAAATTTTGAATAAATTAAAACTTACAATGTGTTCTAGATAATATTCTTACCACTAAATTTGATAAAAGGTTTAACTTTAAATTAAAAATAATGACACCAAATGAATTCTACTAAATCCCTTTTATACCTTGTATGTATGTAAAATAGGAGAACACCTTTACTGTTTGCAATCATAGTATAGTTTGTCCAGCAAAAGTACTCACCTATTCTGTATATTCCTTAATTGATACCTTACCATCAAGACCTTTTCTATTATGGCAGGGTGTCGATAATAAGAACTGATTTTTGTTGGGACACAGGGTGTTCTATTGCTGGAAAGTTAACATTGTACGTGTGGGGTTATTGCACACAATGCTGTCAGTGTAGACATACAATAGTATAAATATTATTTTCCCTTCTCAGAATCTCTTTAATTTATAAAAAAGTGATTAGAGTATTTATTTATAAGTTTATAATCCGTAAGAATGTTGTTTAATGTATGTACCTAAATTATTAATAATACAATTTAATTTGTAACAATAGAAAATTAAGTGAAGTTCATATTAATTTAATAATATCCTTAGTCTTTAGGCATAAAAGTAAATTTTAATGCGCAGTTAATAATTAGCTTATATTGAACGAGTAATGTGAAGAATTTCTAATTTAATTTGAGAAAATTGATTATATTTTTCAGATTGCTGATGAAGAAACAGAATTGAATTAAAATTGTTAAATGATTTAAATGTATTACTTTAATTTATTTTTCACATTAAAAGGAATCAAAATGTAGAATTTTTAAAAGTTTATTAGTTGCCATTAAAACATCATTTTAAAATCAAAATTTACCTCTTCATAGAAATATTAATTAAAATTTATATCAAATTATCAGTCTTAAAATTGACTGAATAAGCAAATAAAACTTATATTATGTATTTTATATTACATGCAAACTATCAATAATTTAAGAAAAAATAATTGTAAGTTACTAGTAACCACTAAACGGAAAAACTTATAATATTCCGTGTATATAATTTTAATTGAAGGTGGAGTATTAAAATAAGATTTAAGTTGATATATTTATACAATTTTGTTTCTAATGTTTAAGTCCATGTTTTTATTATTATTTTTTTTTTTTATTAAATTCTTAAAATTGTTGCTTATATTTACTCAAACATTTAATTTTAGTATACTTAGTTTACAGTAAACAAACAAAATACAAGAATCAGCACTCTTATAGAAAAAATTAGTTATTAATATCCATCGTTAATCTGTATACACAAGTGTATGTACAATTCAAATTTAAGGTTGGAAGTATTTTTAAAATAAAAATTATTTTATTGTTTATGTATCATTATTTTTTTATGTAATACTTTTAAAATTAAAATAAAAAACAATACAAACCACAATAAACCTTGTTTTTATGAATTATTTTAAATTTTAAGAAAACCATATTTTATTATATTTTACTATAAACAGTGTGCAATGCTTAATAAATTTACAAAATTATGAAATAATTTGAGACTTAAATAGAACAATATTATAGTTCTGTATGGAGGTAATCAGAATGAAAATCACTTGGTTCGTCTTTATGAATAAATATGCCTTCTTTGACACGCCAATGAGTCGAAAATGGTCCTGGGTTTTTTACGGCAGCAATCTCTCTTTGTCCATTAATTGGTCGACCATATGATAAACTTGAAGCCATTAAGTATCTGAAAATGTATTGTTAAAATCATTTATAACATTGACCATGTTATTCACTTGAAACAGAATAAACAATTTTAATCTTTTTTATCATTTTTATTTTCTAATGAGAATTAAAATTATAATGTTATAAATTTATAATTATTTTATACTCACGATCCAGTGTCTACATGTTTTAACCGAATGTCGTCATCTCTTTCCCAATAATCTCCACTGCAATCTGCATACCAATGATCACCAGTATCTCCTTCTCCATCATTACCATATGCGGATACTTCTTGGTTGCCAGATAGAGGCGAACTGAATAGATGTGAATGGAGGTTCTTTTTGGTGGTTAGATGTGTAAATCTGATTATACTTCCACATTTAATAGGCTCACTAAAATTTAAAATACAATACATTTATAAAAAAAAACTAAAAATATTAATAATAGTTTTACCCTCTTTTACAATGTTTTCCAGTTTGGGCTTTTATTTCCCAATGTGAATTAATATCTTCCGATAAATCGGTTCCGGTTACAGATTGCTGGCCACTGCCTGCACCATATTTAACATCGTGCGAATGTAACCTTACTTTAAGATCGATATTGTACAATTTTGCGACAGTTCCACAAGTCACATACTCCACATTTTTAGCTGTTTGTTAAAAAATTTTAGAAAATAATAATTGCAGACATTCACATTGAGTGTCACTTACTTTCTGTCCATTGAATGAGTATAAATGTTGCGCAGCATAATAAATATGCTTTACTAAAAGATATGTCCAACATACTTATCCCTAATTGTACAGTTAAAAAAATATGTATTAGATACCTCTATCTATGTATATGTAGAACCAGGAAAAAAAATAAAAATAAAAAATGACCACTTTAAATACAGTAGTAAGAGGATTTATTGAACACAAGACACTTGGTTTTTGAGAATACTGTAAACGATTTACAGTATTTAGTTTTAGTTACTCCGCGACCAAAGTGGCATAATCAACGAATTCGAATTAAACACATCACTCAATACTTGTATCACAGAATAATATTATTCTGTGCTTGTATTTCTTTTATCTGATACTGCAGTGATATACGACTGATACAGTGATACCGATTGGAGACAACAGAATCAAAAAGGATGGAATTCTGTGACCGTGTCTGTAACCACAGAATAGATTAGGTATCACAATAATATTATTGTGTTAACTGATAATAAGTATTCCATATTATTAATTATTATTTCCATGTGCTTCTACAATGAGTTTTCAAAATTGCAACTAATTTGAATTTTGAAGTAAGTTTGAACGACAAGTCGAACACCCATCATAAAAGACTTCATAAGAAAACCAATTGGCAACGTTTTAATTGTGTCAATAATATCTGAAACTAGTCAATTGATTTTTTAGTTTATATTATTGTTCAATTTTATTGTTGGCTAGTGCCAAGTGATTTAATCGACTTTTTATTGTTTTTATATTTTTCGTTTACGTTTGTTAAACATTATGAATTAGTGTGAAACTTTCCATACTAGGCTTATGTGGAGGTTAAATATTTTTTTTCTATTATTATTGTCGCCACCAACATTAATATGGAATTGACCATTAATACGAGTAGTTTTACCGATTACTTGCATATGCACAAAAAATCAAGTAGAAACCGTGGTTCAGTTATGAAACGTTTGAGAGCTAAACGCAAAAACGCAATTTTAGTATTCAACAAGTGGTTTGAAAAAGAACATGATTATTGTTTACCAATCAAAAAAAGAAGTGAAGTAAGTCAGAAATACAAATGCTTTTATTAAAAAGTACCTTGAAATAATTTATTTGGTTTTAAAGTATGATCAGACGACTATTACCTCCAAAGTAGATGATGATTTTGATGCAATTAATAAATCATTAATATCAGATTCTATATCATCAGATGTTTCAAAAACAATAACAAACCTAGAAAAAATAAATGTAAATAACGAGTTATCTAGTTGTAGCTTATATGCTATTGATGTTACAACAGAGTAAGTTTTAACAATACAATTTGTAATATAAATATTAAATAGTAATATTTTATCAATTTATTTTTCATTAGATTATTGAAAGATGCATTATTAGAAAATCAAAAAAATCAAATAAACTATGTACAGTCAACAAACATATCAAAAGAAAGTATTAATTCTTCTGATGATTATGTATCTAATATTTTAAATAATTGCAACCCATGTGATATAACTCCAAGGTAATTTTAGTTGTATTTTTAATTAATATTTAACAATTTATTTTAACATTTTACTACTGCTGCATTAAAAGGTACTCAAAGTAGGAATAGCAGGACTATTCTTCTTAGCAGTATTCAGTTAGGGAGATTTAGCAAATCAACAGGTTGTGAAGGTGTTTCAGCTTTATTGCATCAAGTTTTTAAAAATCATTAGATTTAATTATTTAATTCTTGCCTTTTAAATAAAATCTTACTCTGAAGATTTCGTCCTTCTTTTGGTTTAAATCATATTGAATAACTATGTATTTAAATTGCATTAATGATTTTTTTATTGTAAATAAGATTAAACTATAAAAACATTATACACCTAAGTGATAATAAAAAAGAAAAATTGTGTGTTTTAAGAGAATGTACACCACCAAAAGTATTTTCACCCATGGATATTGACGGTGACATGATCAAATTGTTCCCAACATTAGATTTTTCTACAGAACACAATTTAAACGAGTAATGATACATTTTTAAAAATATTTTTGAATAACTTATTATATGTATAATTTTTTTTAGAAAACAAGAACACAAATGTAAAGAAAAGAAAATTGAAGCTGAAACAACCATTTCACCTAAAGACTCTGATCAAACTAAAACTGAGGAGATACTTTTGCTCAATAAATTATTAACTGATACCGTTTCTCAATCTTTGCAAACAGAAAAAGTTGTAAAAAGTGAATGTAAAGTTAAATCTAAACTACTTCATAATATACAGAAATTATCAACTGGCAATCCAGCCAATATGACAAACCTTCAACTAGCATCTGAACAATATATAAGTATATTTAATCGATATCAGGTATTTCATGCTATTATAATTTTTTTATCATTTTGTAGAGACTTTTATAGTTTAATGATGATTATTTTTAATTATTATTGATGTAGAGCAAGTCAAAAGAACAATTTATTGAACAGGTCGAAAATCCAGGACCCTTATTATTAAGAGATCTTCTTTGTGGTTCAAAACCCAAAACCATTATCAGTCCTTACACCCATAGGTAATACTTATCACATTTGCATCTATTATTTGATCAAATTATACTTTTATTTAAATCATGAATTAAGATATTATCTTAGTTCATGATTTAAATGTTGATTAGGCCTATTATCATGATTTAATTGTAACATTTTACACACTTATTTTTAACTTTGTTTAAAATTAAAGTATTAAAAGATCATTAAGCTTGGCAATAAGTTAATTGAATTATATTATAATTTAACACTAACATTATCAAATGTGAACTGCTAAATATAAATTTGCGATGCTGTGCACTTATAAGATGATGACAACAAATATTTATGTGGTATAGTGACCATAAACAAGTATACTAACAACTTGTGGTGACATTATAAATACATTATTTACAATGTCTTGAACAGAAAAGTACCATTCATTCAATTTATTTGTTTAATTTTGTTAAGGTATTTAAAACCATACATATTCAGAGATTTGGTGACTAGACCACTGTGGTTAAAAATGTTGAATGAATTAAAAGAACATTTTAGGCGAAAAAATGGATTGCCTAGAACTAAAGAAATTCAATCAATTGACTACAGTTATGTTCGTGCAAAACACATAAATTCAGTTAATGCGTTGGCAAGACAATTTTTCTGGCCTGGAATTGATTGTAAGCCATGATATGATTTGATGACAGATAATAAATATTTTATAAACTAATAAATTTATTTATTTTCATTCAGTGACTGAAAGTCTATTGTACCCAGACTTCAGTGTCATTGCATTGTACAAAAACTTGATAGTTGGTTTTGGTTTCATGGTTCCAGACATAAGTACAAATGAAAATTATATTACATTTTTGTTCACTCGTCCTCATTGGACTAATTGTGGTATTGCTAAATTTATGATATACCATTTAATTCAGGTATTGCATTAAAAATATATTAACAAAAAATAATGACATAATATATTTAAATTTATATATTGTTTAGACTTGCATGACCAGAGACATAACTTTACATGTCTCCGTAAATAATCCAGCTATGATACTATATCAAAAATTTGGATTCAAAATTGAAGAATTTGTACAAAACTTTTATGACAATTATATTCCTGCAGATTCAGAAATGTCTAAGCATGCATTTTTTATACGGTTACGCAGTACTTTAAACACCAAATTAAACTGATGCATAATGCCAAAAAAAGGTTTTAGTATTTGCTTTCATTTGACAAATTTTGTTAACATCTATGAAAATATTTTTATACATTGAATTGACATTTCTATAAAATATACCTTGAGTATTTTATTATTTTTTAAGTTTTCTAAAATATATTTGCATTGTATAATCTGATTAATAATAAAGAATAGAGTATAACCCATTCATAATAAAAAATCACTGATTATATAAAATTTAAAATGTTGCTTATTTTAATTTATTATTTTCTACACTCCAGCTGTATTCCAATTTCCAACATATTTTTGTTGTCTGTTAGATATTTTGTATCAATATCAACTTGTTAAGATAAAAATCAAGACTCGTATGATATTAATATACAGTACAAAGCATAACATTCAAAATTTATAATTTGTTCTTAGTTAACAATATTTTTGCAACAGGCAACCTATAGAGGTACAGTTTACGTAATATTTGGTGTGACAGTTTGAAAACTATTTGGGAGTTCACTGAAATTGTGTATAGGAGTATTATAATGAATTTCAGTCTTCTTTGAACTTTTTGTTTATCCACGTCACGTTTCCAGTTTGAAACTGTATTTATATTGATAAAAAACAATTTAGAACAATAGAACAAAGAATTAATAATTATTACATGTTAAAATATTTTTAACTAGATAAACAAAATGTAGAAATAATATCTACATACAAGTAAATGTACTTTTTGTTTATAATTGTTGAGCTATATTTATGTTAACTTAGAGCTATGATAAAAAAAAAGATACCTACATGCAAAATTAACAATATATTAAATATGGTAGTATAAAAATGATAAATAGTCATAATCAGTTGACATCAAGCCTGAAAGCTTGTGAATAAAGTTATCGGAAATATGATACAAACTACAAAGTACAGACACATTTTTTAAAATATAAAATAGTTACTACCTACTCATTATTTTATACATTTTTTATAAAAAAAACTAAAGATTTAGTGTCTACTGTCTTGCAAGAGTTAAGTATAAGTCTTAGGTTTTATACATGGTGCATATTATATTCTACCATAAAAGTATGTCAAGTAACTAGTATTTCTACTCAGTTAAGGTCTAAGTTAGCTTAGACCTGTTGATTATAATAAGTATTTTTTATGTACTATAACTTTTTAAGTCGGTTTTTTATCAGGTTTTTCCCTAGATTCCCTTAAATAATAGTTAAGATGGTTAAGAAAAGTTTTGGAGAATAGAGGATGAGTAGTCTATGTAACCACATATCCACATAGATAATGAATAATGATATTGATATTTATTAGGTATTTGTTAGTGAATTGTTATTTTTTGAACATGTAGTGCTAACATCATAACTAGGGGGCTAGGAGGCCCCATCTATGTGTGTATTTAGTCCCCTATAATAAATATTTTACTTATTTTTTTAATTCCATTTTGTTTTTAAAGATGAGTTTATACTTTCATCTTATTGTTTATTTTTAATTTTGATTTTAGAGGACAGTTATGCTTACTGTGGTGGAGGTGTGGGGCCCTCAAAGTTATTTTGAACATTAGTTTTCTATCCTTTCAGGACTCTAGCCCATGTAACTATTAAATCCTAGTTACGCCTATGAGTGCATAAAAATTTGGCTAAAAAATGTTGCATAACATTGTAC